CTCGTATTATACAATTTTCGGGCTACTGTAACTCGAAAAACCGCGATTTCCTGATGTTTAATCCACCAAAGTGCAGAGCGATTATTGGACTATTTTCAATACGGCACCTTTTAATATATTTGCATTCTTTCCTTGCCCCAAAAGGCAAATAAGCCTAATTCCCGTCGGACTTTTTCACACGGCGCAGGCCCTTGTTTTCCTCGTTTGGCCGGTCCTTCACCACCCCCAAAACCCCCAAAAATATGCCATCCATTCTAAAGTATGCCCCCGGTTCCATCACAAACCGCTGTGGTATGCACTCCACGAAAAGCCGTAGCCCTATGCGTTTTTTTGTTTACGGAAGTCATCAACCAGCTGGCCGGCTACTCCATTCACCGGCCACACTTGTCGATAATTATTTTCCTGCAGGGGCCGTATTTTGCTTCAGATTTCACCCGGAACTCTGTGACTCAGAACTACATGCTGTTTTTAATTTTAAAATTGGAATTTTAATATAGAAAAATCTGGAACGTTAAGATTTAGAATTTTTAGGCCTATTTGGCAGTTTTCGGCAAATTTATTAATTAAATTTGTGAAAGAAACTAAGTAAAAATTAACTTTGTCATCAACTTAATCGAAGAAAGGGCTCAGGCAATCAAAATGATACTAAATTCGTTAGGAAATTAGGTAAATTCAAAAGAAACTATTACAGCGCCTGAATTTTTCTGATTTTCCGAGTTGCAACACTTTGCCGTTGAGGGATGTGAAATAACCCAAAAAAACTGGCTTTTATCGCTGCAAAAAGTAAAAATAATCATATTCCCATCACCCCGAAGCAATATCCAGATGAGCGGCCAAAAGGCAAAAAGTTGGTGCCTCATGCTGGAATCGAACCAGCGACCTTCTGTTTACTAGACAGACGCTCTGCCACTGAGCCAATGAGGCGCTGTGGGTGGTCCGCCGGGTGGGGTCTTTCCCCAGAGGGAGCCCATCCCCTGTCCCGCTTGTCATTCGCTGACAGTTGCCTTGTCGGGGGTATGGAAAAAGGGACCGATTTGGATGCAAAATCCCCGGGATTTTTCCTATTACTTTTGTTTAGCTATTTATTGAAGGTATTAATCTTACTATTTAAATACTTTTTCTAATTTAATTAATAGAATTAACTTGATATAAATTGTTTATTAGACTTTATTAAATCGATTTTTAAAAAGCCAATTGATTTGATCTCTTCTATGTATTTTTCAAGATTTATGCAACGATGATATTTCTATAACTCTTAAAATACTTTTCCTGTTGATTCCCGGCCTCCTTTTAGCATTGGCCAAGCTAGCGGCAACGATTTCGCGGAGCAAGATCTTCGGCGGGGATGGGCTGGGGAGCATGGACTTCTTCGACTTGAGGCGGATATCGGCGACGAAGAAGCACCCACACGCCAATGTACATCATCAGCATGGCGGCAGCGGTCAGTGAACTTCTCTCTCTCTCTCTCTCTCTCTCTCTCTCTCTGGCTCTCTCTCCCACATTTAGTTTGTCTATTGCACGTAAATCCCGATTCAGTTGATTTCAACCAACAAGATGCCAATTTTCTGGTCAGCTAGAGAATCGCAAATGTTCTAGAAAGCAGCGATTCCGCTAAAAAAATTGCAGAGTTTTTGCAAAGTTGCAAAATGGTGTATAATTTGCCTTCTTAATCCTTTAAAACTTGCCACCCAATTTCCTGAATTTCCACGCTTTCTTTCCCCGATTTTCCACGTCCCAATTAGCGGCCTGAATAGCCTCCCGGTTTCTTCTGCCCGGTTTTTGTAGTGCTGGCAAGGTCTGGGATTAAGGGGAGCTCCACTTGCTCGCGTCAGAATTTTGAATTCCTGAAACTTTTCATATTTTACGATGGGCCCGCTGTTCATCTTCGAGCCGCACAGCAACTTCAGTAAGTTCAAGCGCCTGGGGGGCTCTAAGGAATCCCTGCTAGCTTGCCTTACCTTAAGGCTGAAACTGCAAGCAGATTCCTCAAAGAGTTTAGCTGGTTCGCCGACCATCTTGTGACATATTTCTTAAAGGATCGCTACTGGTTTGCCCTGTTCTTTCGGCAAGGTACTAGGTGTATTTCTAAGAAACAGTGCTAGCTTGCCCATACCTGTTCCAGGGAATATTTCCAAAACGGTCATTGCTAGTTTGCCCTTTTTTTCAGTCCATGCCGGAAGGCGAAAATCCTTAAGGAGCCATGCTAGTTTGCCTTTAAATTTAGGGTTTCCAAACTCTTCTTCTAAGTGGTTTCTGCTTGCTTTCCTGAGGCACAAAAACTTCCCAAAGCGTCGGCGCTAGCTTGGCTTTTATATAAAAATTGCAAAACCTAGATTTATATAAAAATCTGTTCAGTTCGTAGCCATAAACCAGTCAGTTAATTTCCTAAAAGATCACTGCTTGCGTGCCCGTTTTTCGTCTTGCCTTGTATCCCCCGGGCAACGCTCCTAAAAGATCACTGCTAGCCTGCCAACAGGTTTCCGGAAACTGTATTCCGAAAATCTCTCTGCTAGCTGCTCCGATTTTTGACGCCGCGATGCCAAGCCAAATCCGCCAGGACCAATCATCCCAAAGATCACGCCACAAATAACCGGTCGTCTCTCCAAATAGCGTCCATTATTAACCTTTGCCGGAGTTAAGCCGGAAATACCGGAGGACGGTGGCCGCACCAGATATCTGTTAATCCCGGGGCATCGGCCTCCAAAAACGGCGTACACAAAAATATGCTCGCTGCCGGACTCGGCTTCTTTGCCATCGACTAACAAAGAAAATCCTGAAAAGATCTATTCCATAGAAATTCCGAGATGGGCCCGCTGTTTACGGTTCAGGGTCAGTTTTTTTGGGTTTTCCGAGCTATTACGATTTTTTGGTTTTTATACCTTTTCGTTTTTTAAATTGATTATGTAAATTCTTTCCTCGATTTTTTAGCCACTGCACTGATCGCCGGTTTTCAGGTTCAAATCTGTAATTTTTGACTTTCCGAAATTTTGAAGCTTCCCCAATCCGCTGCAATTCTAAACTGCGCTCCACTTGACTACTGTGGGCGCACCAGAAAAATTAGGACTACGACTTACACCTGCAGACACGGCAGCTGGATGCCGACCACGTGCGAAACTGCAATTTACACGAAAATTTGCGCCTTTTTTCCGTTGGTACGAAACGTTACTGTAACGTATACAAGCGTACGAACCGATCGTATTGATGTATTCCGTAGTAGTGGACACTATTAATCGGAATTGACCAGCAGGACTACGCGATGTTACTTCATACGTATGGACCCTATATCCTTACGGTATTAACTAATTGAAACGTCCAAGAAGTAAACAACATTCATTGATGGCCAGCTTCGCCTTGGGCCCGCCCGCGAAATTCCAATTAGCCCCCGGGGACGACTATGTGACGCCGGTGAGGGAATTCGAATTTGATGAATCAGACGAGAAAGCGGCGAGAGAGAGAGAAAGAGAGAGAGAGAGAGAGAGAGAGAGAGAGAGAGATAGCAAAACGTGGCGGGCCAGGGAAAAATAGACAAGCCCGCTACGCTACAGTACCATAAACCAAAGCTCATTCTTAAGCAAGAGAGCAAGAGAGCGAGAGCAGGGAGAACGAGAGAATTAGAGAAAAAAACTCCAAAAAAAAGGAGCTTACTTTCAAAACGGCTCGCCGACCTGACACGTGCCAGCAGCCGAAGCGAGCGGGGAATTGGAATTTTGTCGTATTAAAAAAGCGAGAGAGAGAGAGGGAGAGATATAGAGAGTGAACGAGAAAGCGAGAGACAGCAACACCAGAAGACACCTGCCCTTCCTGCCCTTCCGAAAGCCAAAAGCGGCGGGAGGCAGAACTCAATTTGTGGGTCGAGTGCCTCTCCCCTCTTCGTCTATTTCTTCTCATCTATCTCCATCCGGAAAGGGGCCCAAACAAGGCCCCTTCCTTCTACTAACCGGCAGAAAAACGTCTTTTCTATCATCATCCAATATGGTGGACTTCGTTTCGTCGTTTCGGCTCGGGTTCTTCCTCCCCCTCGGCCAGCCTCGTCGTCGGCACTTGGCCCTTCTATTCTGGGCCTCCACCCACTTTGCATTCAACCCAGGCGCCTATTCCCTTGGGGTCGAGAGACGCGACGCGTATATTTTGTACAGGTACTGTAGTTTTGGATTTTCCTTTTTGCAGTTTTCAGGTATTATTTCGTATTTAGCATTTTAAGCATTTTTGAAAGCCATTTTCTTAAAAATGTTCTCAAAACCATCTTTGTAATTTTTTATAGTTAATTTTGGGATTTTAGAGATTCGTTTTAGAAAGTTTTAGCGTTGTGGAGAGACTAGATTTTGACGCAAAAAAATCTAAATTCGAAACACGTTCAAAGGTGCCCCGCGTAGCCCAGTTTTTGCACCGCGCCGAGTCACGCGGTGCGTATCAAGTTTTGAGTTTTATGAATCTATTTCCAGAAAAGTAACATGTCACTGTCCCTTTAAAGAAAATATTTTGCAAGCTTTTCATAGCGTAAGTGATTCTAGGAAATCCGAAGAAGGAGAAAATCCAGAAAATGCAAGGGGAACGTTGGAAATCATCCCACGAAGCAATTTTAATGAAATTTTTCGGTTTATAACTTAAAAAAAGGAAATCGGAGTCCTTTGCCGGTCATTTTTAACTGGTAAAATGAATTAATAATCTTTTTATCGAATTTTCAAGTAATTTAAAAATCTGAGCTTTTCGGTGTAAAAACCCGAAAAAAACCCTTTTTCGAACAAATCGTTTAAAAATTCAACCAGAAGCTAGCGCGTTAAATAATTTATACAGCATTAAAGTTTATCAAAAAATCAAAAAAAGACTTTAATGAAATTAAATATTAAATGCAATTTGGCGTCTGAAGGAAATGGCTTTTGAAAAAGTAGTTAATGTACGTTCCAAAAATCTTGATGCATCGGATTTTTATCTTTGTTTGAATTCCTCAATTCTTCAGACCAGCCATCGATCACCTAATCACATCGGATATCCAGCATCAAATGGTTCTGCCAAGACCCCTCAAATCGCTTGTGCTCAAGAATAACGGGACTTTCATTGGGCTTGATGACGATCAGCTGGTAGAGGTCATCGAGACAAGCCAATGGGCCGTAGAGTTGGCCAAGCGGATCCAGGGTACGTGCTTTCCTACAAGTTTGAACTGATTTCCATGGATTTACGGAGTACGTCTTTTACGAATTTTTACACGCAACGCGTATGCGCTACGCATCAGGACACGTGACGTAAAAATCTATCGTAATCGCAGAAGGGTCCCAAAATCTATGTGCAACGCATAGCCGTGCCTTGCCTGGGCCTTTAAAGGGACGCAACAGTTTTTAGGTGTTTAAAAAAACTTCAAAAATGAACGAAAAATTACGCATTCCTATCGATTATGTCCGCACGTACGCACGCGCGTACGTGCTACGCACAAGGACACGCCAGGCGTGCGCCGAATCATGTAATTGAAACAGCCTAATCCATTGCCCGATCGAAGGCCGACGCGTTGCGTGCCGCGGGCGCCCTAAAACCGTGTGCAATCCACTGCCGTGCCTTTCCTGGCTCTTTAAAGAGACGCCGACAGTTTTTAGATGTTTAAAATACTCTGAAAATGCGTTTATGGCTATGCAAATTTACATTTCAGCTGTTATCCGGGGATTTTTTTGTGTCACCACTCCTTTAGCTCAAGTCCCTGGCGTCCCCAGGTGTATTTCGAGGGCAATTTCCTTGCGGTTTTGGAGAACCCTCGAGTTTTTTGTAGCCTGCTCCCTCCTGCAAAATCTCAGCCTCCAGAATCCGGGACGAACACGCCTTCAGGATTCCCCTTTTTTCGATTCGACCTAATCAGGTATGCAAACGGAAATGGGCGGGGGGGGGATGGCTTTCATTAAAACGGATGGGTGCGCATGGAAACGACATTTCGAGAGAGAGAGAGGGAGGGCGAGAGAGATAGAGGGAAAGAGAGAGAGAGAGAGGGAGAGAGAGAGCGAGAGAAATCGGGATCGAGGCTTTGAAAATAGACTATACAAGCCATAAAAAGCATTAAGAATTGAATGAAGCCTATTAGGAAATGGAGGGCTTGCGGAGGCGGAGATAGCGATAGAGCGAGAGAGAGAGAGCGATAGAGAGCTATCGAGAGAGATAAAAGAGAGATAGACGGAGAAAAAGAAAGAGCGAGACAGAGCGAGAGAGACAGAGAGAGGGGGAGAGAGAGACGTCAAAGAGCCTGGATTGGATACAAATGGGAAAGGAGGATTATGCTACGCAGCGGCGGCGGCTTCCCCCAAAAACGCACGCTCCAAATATCGGCATCGCCTTCTCTATTCGGCAAATAAATTTACAACTCTGCATCCCATTATCGTAGTGCTTTTCTAATCCTGAACTTCTAGTTCTCTCGGGTATTTTGGATTAATTAGTTTTTGACTACCGAGTGTCATGTCTTCTAATGTCCTATTTTCTGAAGTGGTCCCGAGGGGAATTTCTCCTCCTTAAGTTACCAATGATAATAGATTGTCTCAAACTGCCACTTGAAATAGCAGGATTGAAAGATTAGCACGGCCATATTTATTTCCGCCAGATTTTTGGCGTCCGAAACGGCTCCGGTGTGCCACGAGCGTCAGCCGTTTCTCTATGCAATTAAGCTCCTAGCGGCAGTCTGGGCCCGATTTTTGCGATTTCTTTCTCTCTCTCTCTCTCTCTCTCTCTCTCTCTCTCTCTTTCTCTTTCTCCCCAATGGCATCTATCCGATTCTCGGCTTTTCCCGCGTAACGAATCGGGGGGAATCGGGAATCGCGGCATTACCTCTTCCACCGCTGGCCCCATTCATCCAGATTCCCTGGGCCAATTTTCTCACACTCCGCTTACTGGGCCTCCATTTTTGCCGGAAATTCCGGAGATTCTGCATCGGCAATTTCTTCACTTCCCGCGACAATTTAAAGGATGTTGTGCCGAATTATTTGCGAAAATGGAATCAACACTTCCATAGGAATGTTGCGTAGCGCTTAAACTACATTTTTTTGCTAGATTAAAGCCAGCGAGAGATCTCTGACCCTCCAAATTTCACTTTCTCGCTGTCTCTCGCGCTATCTTTCACTTTCTCTCTCGCTGTCTCTCGCGCTTTCTATCTCTCTCTCGCTCTCTCTCTCTCTTTCTCTCTCTCTCTCTCTCTCTATCTCTCTTTCTCTCACTCCATCTCTCTTCGCTCGCTCTCCCTCTCTCTCACTCGCTCGCTCTCTCGCTCTCGCTCTCTCGCTCTCGCTCTCTCGCTCTCTCTTTCTCTCTCTCCCTCTCTCTCTCTCTCTCTCTCTCTCTCTCTCTCTCTCTCTTTCTCTTCGTCAAAAATCACAGAAAAAGTCACCTTTAATCCCGTCCCCATCCTCGAACACTATTCATCCTCCCGCACCACTTTGCCCGAACACGAATTCTGACGACTTTCAAGGGTTCAAAAATCCAAAATCCCAGCACGAGGCGTTTCTTTGTTGCCTCCAGAAGGTGAAACCCGAGAGGAAGTCACTCCCAAGAATTCATTCCGCTACGGCGCCTGGCCTTTCTGGGTCAAATTTTAGAAGTGTACAAACGTCCCTATTGTCGTTCTTACATTGGTATGTTCCTAAATCGTCTCAGCTAGCTTGTCACCCCTCTCTCTCTCTCTCTCTCTCTCTCTCTCTCTCTCTCTCTCTCGTTTCTCTCTCTCTTTCTCTCTCTCTCTCTCTCTCTCTCTCTCTCTCTCTCTCTCTCTCTTTCTCTCGCTGTTTCTCTCTTTCTCGCTCTCTCTCTCTCTCTCTCTCTCTCTCTCTCTCTCTCTCTCTCCCTCTCTCTTTCTCACTCTCTCTTTCTCTCTCCTCTCTCTCTCTCTCTCTCTCTCTCCCCCCTCATTATCTCCTTTTTCCAACAAATCTACGCACATGCCCTCGGGCTATTATTCTCCCCTCCTCCCCTCTTTCTCCGTATCCGATTATTCACGAGATCCGCAATCAAGCCCCACACATACAGCCTGAATAACATAGAAAATTTGGTCCTAAATTTTTTTGGATTCTTCCTTTGTTTTCATATTTTTTAGGATTATTTCACTAAACCCAGAAATCCCTAACCAAGCTCCACAAAATTTGATTTAAACGGAGAGTGATCGTACATTCTCAAAACTATTTTTCCGTCTGGCTCCGTACGAACGGACATGTTTTGTCTTCTTTTTTCTTTTATTTATTGGATCTGGCAAGCAGGCGGCGTGTAGCGATTCCGTAAACAAGCTCGCCCCTTAGCCCCCAATTTAGTGACGTTCACCCAATTTCCGCAAAACTTCGAGAAGTTTTGGGAAATTTTTGATGTGAATTAGGCTTGTTCTATTTTTATGCGTGCTGAAAGCTCGGAATTTGTAACGTTTCGTAGCCCCAAGTTTTGGATTTGATTGGATTTTGGACTTTTCCAGTCGCTTTAGCTTCACGTTTCGTCTGGGTACGAGACAGTACGCTGTCTTACGGTAAGCCCACGGTAGCTCGGAATTGCTTAGGGCCTTGTTATTTTTGGCCTTAACTGTATCCAGCGCCAGCATGAAGTAAAATATATAGAAGACACGCATTTTGCCTAAAATACGCGCCTGTACGCGCTGACGGTTCCGTTTTTGGAGACATTTTGAGGTCCTTGCCCTAGTGAAGCCTATCTTTCCCCATGACTACGCAACACTACGCTCGTACGATCATCGTATGGCAATATCGCGTAAATTTTGATTTTTTTTATAAATACTACGCAACAAGACGGGCTGACGCTTGCATTTTTGGCGTTTTTTTTGAGTACTTGCAATAGGTAGGCCCACTTTTCCCAAAAATTACGCGACGAGACGCATTTACAAAACGATTGACGATCTCAGCACGATAAATTCAAGTTATTCTCGATTCCCTCATCAACACTACGCTACAATACCCCCTTCCGATTCCAGTACCCTCGCCCGGCCTCCACACCGTATCAATATCGTGCTCGGGGGCCCTCTTCCATCCAAGAGGAGGGCCCACGGCATCCAGTCAGCGTACGAGGGCGTATCCTCCCGTACTCGCCACCCTGATTTTCGACGTGATGCTGGGGATGAAGACGGCCGAGCGGGAGCTATTTGATGATGATGGGGATGAGCCGTTTGAGAGGCTCATCGCCATGGAGGCCAACGGATTGTCAAACACCATGGTTGGCCCGCTGCTCGACCCGACGCATTATACCAAACTTGGTAGTGTCATTGGGGAAGAGTCATACTTGGATGTCAAAATACCGATTTATCGTTAAAACCCCCCCCAGAAATGCCGACATTTAGCATCCCGATAGCGAAAATGCCGAAAAGCTAAAATGTCGGCAGGTCAAAAAGTGTTTGTCGGCATTTTTCTGGAAATCCTAAATATTTCTGTGTGAACTACGAAGCAGTACGCTAAAAAATACGGGATGCAACGTAAAAATCGGGTCCAAAAATCCCAAATTTAAAAAATCTAAAAAATCAAAAAAACCTGCTGCGATATCATACGATACCTAAACATTATTAAAATTTTCCACCACTAAAATTTTTAAATAATAATCATTGCCTTTTCCAGACTACTCGGCCGTCGCCCTGCTCCCCGTCGCCGTCGTTCTTTGCCTCGTCGTCGCCGTCGCCGCCCTATATCAATGCCGGAGATGTCGACATCATCGGAGACAGGTCGGCCTTGATCTCTCTCTCACTCACTCACTCTCTCTCTCTCTCTCTCTCTCTCTCTCTCTATCTCTCTCACTCTCCCTCGCTCTCTCTCACTCACTCTCTCTCTTTCTCTCTCCTCTCGCTCTCCCTATTTTTAAAGCCACTTTTTCCAGATCGAGCAGCTAGCATGGGTGTATGACGTGCTAGAAGATGCTCTTCCCTCCCCGCTGCCGGTTCCGAAAGACAGTAACAACGCCAGGCCTACAGCTCAAAGCCCGCACGTCTTCAGGCCGCCGGACTCGCCGCAGGTATTCGAGGAGAGTGAGAGCGAAAGAGAGAGAGAGAGAGAGAGAGAGAGAGAGCAAGCGAGGGAGAACCGAGACATTAGTTGATTTCAAAAATATCCTTTTCAAGCTCTCCCCAGCTCAACGAGTCTCCCAGGCCGTCCGCCCACCCCCAGCCCACTCGTCCCCGTTTTACCAGGTCCGAAATTTGCTTCTAAGTGGACTTTTGATTTGCTTTTAGCCAACATTCAAGGGCAAATCGCTACGCTACGATACGCTCCAAAAGGCTACGTCTGCTACGGAGGTAAGGATTTAAACATTTTTGATCTATTCAATAAACGTTTGATTCTGCCAAAATGATTTTTTACTAGTAAATTGCAAACTGGTAAAAATCACTTGTAAATGATACTGTATTAAGCTATTAACGTATATTTTGATAAATTTTGTAAAAACTCAGTATCTATCTTTTTTAGGTAATCTTCCACTTTACCAACTTCCTCGAGCCGAACGGCACGGCGGCCGTAGAGCAGCACGTTTAATGGCTTTATCAAATTTTCCCCGTTTTTTTCTATACCTAAAATTCATCGCACTTATCCACTACTCTTTTTCTTACTATCCTTAACGTCTCTCGGGTATCTGCCTTCTTGCCAACCCTCAAATTGTGTGATATTTTCTACGCTTATGCGGGTGTTACGCTTTTTCGAAAGTAGCATTTAACAGTATTTGTATTTGTCATTTTTGGGTAGTAAATAAAAAAACAAAAAACAAAAAATAAACGAAAAATTGGCGTCTACAGTACGTTCGTAAAATAGGTTCGAGCCGTTTTCCCAATTTTCTTGCCCTTGCTGCCAATTCTTCGTTTTTCAGCCAACCGCTGGCGCCAGCCTTTCGGTCGGAAGGTCGTCGTGCTCGAAGTCGTGGCCTTAAGACTAAGGTGGTTAGAAAGCGCAAAAATTGACCCCTCTTCGCCACTAGCTTTAGAAAAACGGAATTTTAGGAAGGTTGTCAAATTTATAATTAATGGGAGGCAAAAATTGTAGATTTGGTTAGTGGTCGAGACCTAGTGGGGGAAAGGGGATCGATTATGACGCTTTTTGGAGCTTTTGTAGGAGTTTGGAAGGCAAATCTATAGCCCTACCAAGGTAAATCTTCAGGAAAAATCTACGCAAAAATAATTTTTCATAGATTTTCGACCCCACAGTCTTCTTAAAACCAATTTTTGGAGGGAATTCCCTAGCTAGAGGGATAAAGCGAGAGCGAGATGGAGGAAGAGAGAGCGCGAGAAAGAGAGAGAGAGAGAGAAAGCGAGAGCGACAAAATAGCTCTGAAAATCAATTCTACCTGGTCAGCGCCATCCGTGTTCTCAACTTCCGGTTTTCCTTGTCCTTGTACCTCGACAGCTTCGACTTCAGCCACTTTCTGTGATCGTGGGTCGACGGTGGTGAACAGTTTTAAGAAGAAGCGGACCAATGCTGAAGTTTCTCTACCAGCCATCAGGAGTAGGTGCTTGGCCTAAAGATTCATCGAATTCAAGAAGATGAATTTGTTTGAAGAATGTTTTGGAAGTGCGTTATAGAAACCCAGGTCCAACGTAAAAGCATGACTGCTTTTTCCTACCTCCCAGTGTCTCTCCTGATCTTGAATATCCTTATCGAGTACCAGGATCCTCAGCTCGGCCATTAGGTTCAGCGCATCTTCATAGACGTGACGAACCTACAAATAATTGCGATTTTCTCAGGGATTTAAGTTGTAGGGTCCTTAGCGGCTGTCTCAGCACCTTTAACATCCACGATTTGAGCGGTTAGACTACCTTTTCCTGGAGCTTCACATTGGAGTCGCTGAAGAAGACGCGAGCTTGAGCCTAAAAATGGAGCTTAGAGTGTTCTGGAAAGCAGAAGGTGAGGGTCCAAGAGGTGCTAGAATCGACCCCTGAGGCCGACTAGGTCTCGACAAGCCCAATAGACCATTCGTTCGGTTTGAAGTGATGTTTGAGTAAAAATAGCAAAAAGTGAAGTGGCTGTCTAGACCCAGTCGACTATTGGGGTCGGATTTTGCATTTTCCGGCCCCCTTTAGGCTTACCAATAAATCCTCCACAGCCAGATCGTAGATGGTCTTGATCTCTGGTGGTTTTCCATGGTAGCGGCTGCTTTTCGTAATATTGGCTACGGATTTGAGGTCTTCAGATGTGCTTTCTTTTTCTTTCTTCGTTTCCCTTGTATTTTCCTTTTCTTTATCTTTGATCTCGGCGCTGGTCATCTCTTCCACCACGGCGTTGACTTCCCGCCAATGTGGGTGCACCTGTTTTTCCGGTTTTAGGGTGGCTTCTTCCTGAAAAATGTAGAGCGTAATTTGAAAGTTAGCTCGACGTGTTCTCACAGGTTTAAAGTTTAGTTCTGTACATTTCTACCAGGTCAGAAAAAGCAAAAAAAATATATAAATTAGAAATTCCTTACGATTTCCAGGCTTGCAGCAGGCTTTTCAGGGGCCCGATCCGATCCCTCCTTCTCCAGCGAAACCACCTCATTGCTCTGGATCTGGAATTGGCGATTTGTGCCTAATTAAGAAGCGTTTCCTGCGATTTCGATAATAATACGGCATTAAAAATGTCGCCAATCTAAAATACCGACAACCGAGCCGAAATAATCGACAATATCGACAGCGAAACTCCCGACAAGCCAAAATCCCGACTTTCGACAAGCAAAAATCCCATCTTTCGACAAGCAAAATCGCTGACAGACCAAAATGCCGACAGGCGGGAAGCGGCCATTTAAAAAAATGCCGACAGCTGGAAAGCCAAAACATAGCGTCTAAATCACCTTTCTACAGAGAGCCGACGCGAAAAACGGAAGTAAAACAATAATCCGGAATCGCATGGCTGGCCAAAAATAATAAAAGCCGATTCCCTTTTATACCCTTCCCTCCGTTCCGCACAAATACTGTAAACAATGCACCCGGGGCGTTTTTTGACGCGCCGAGCGCGCGAAGCTGTAAATACTAATTTGCATATTTCCGGGAGGCCGCTGGATATTTGGGGGGTGTTTATTTTTAGCCGCTTTTCAGGCGGACGAGGAATTTTTATTCCGATGTTTTCATGTTATGTTTTTAAAGTATGTGAAGGCTCTAACATCTTTTATATTGATTTTACAATTCTAACTATTTGGTAAGAGTCGGCACACGCCAGCTCCCACAGTTTAGTGCGCTATAATGTGCTCTTCATGAGGTTTAGTCTGTTTCGCACTTGAAAACCGGCCGAAATGAAGGGTTGGCTTGGCGCTATCCTATTATTAGAATGCTCCATTTTGCTGGAAGCCACTTGTCAAGTTCGTAATTTCCAAAAAATCTTCGAAATCGGGGTTCAAATAGGGGACACACAATTTGAAATTCCCGCAATTCTGACGTTTTAAACTAGCTTTGCTATCCGAAATCAAAATTTTTTCAATTTATAGCCGCCAAATTCTAGCCTTGGTAGCCTCTAACCGTAACCAAACCCATAATCCTAGCTCGGCACCACCCGTACCGTGGAAAATGTCTTTGATCTGCAGTGCGTTGATGCTGGCGGCGGAACGACGACGGAATTGTTTGTCGGTTAGTTGTAGTGTGTCACATAACAAGTTTAATGTTATTTTTAGGCTGCACGGCCAAGGATGTTCTACATCAGGTCCGAAAAGTCAAAATCGGGAGCCAGCTGAACCGGGAGGAGAGGGAGAAGACAGGAATTTATTCAGGTAAGTAAGTAGCTTTTTCGCTGTATGTGTCTCTCTCTCACTCTCTCGCTCTCGCTCGCTCTCTCTCTCTCTCTCTCTCTCTCTCTCTCCTCTCTCTCCTTCTCGCTTTCTTTATCTATCTCTCTCTATCTCTCTCGCTGTCCCTTGCTCTCTCCAACTTTATTTTTAGACAAAGGCTTCATCTTCCTCTGCAACCGCACCGAGACGAATCAGGCCATCTGGAAGCCAGTTGGTAAGAATTCAAATGTCCTTTTCCAATCAGGTTTTAGCCTGCTGGGCCCTGTCCGGGACTACGGTGGTAGAGTTTGCTTTTGGGCAGACGAAAAGGATCAAAGGTATACAAAAAGATTAGATTTTAAAGAGACCAGCGAGGCAGACTGTATATTTTCTGGTCTTGGATCCTTATAGGTCTTACCGCGCCGCGATACGCAACGCGCACACCAGTTTTTCAACCGGTTTCATCCGCGGTCAAGTGGCAGGCGCGTTGTGTGCCCGCGACGCGACAAAATCACAGAGAATCCATAGCCAAAAAATCGATGTCATGCTATTTCCGTCCTTTTAAAAGTCTCAGGAGGTTTCCCAAAGTGCCTCTGCTAGCTTGCTCTGGATTTCTTCAACTTTCCATTCCGGACATTGTCGGCAAGAAAGAGCGTGACGTCACCTGTGTCCTAAAGGGCACCTCGGCTACCGTATCGGCTGGAAAGATGCTGGCGGCTGGATAAGCAATTTTGGGGCGATAAACAATTTATTGGCATAGCAAGAATGAAGCAACAATTTTCAAAATTGGTCGATCATGAATGGATCACAAAATGCGGAAAAATTTGTAAAAAGCTATTACGAAAATCGATAAGTTTATGAAGAACCCGTGGTGATGATTGCTGGAGCTGTTGAAAGCGCGGCGGACCTGAAATGAAAAAAACTTAAAATATCATGTTCGAGCTTTCGGAAAATTTTCGTTGTTCATAAATACAGAACGCCGCGTGAAAAACTACCTCAACCCTAGCGTCGCTCGTCAGCACATCGTCTATTCGTTTGATCCTAGCGCAGCCGACCTAGAAAATTATGAATTTTCAGGGGGATTCTATTAGCTTTTAATAGATTCTCATAATTTTCCGGAATTACTACTTACTTTTGGACATTCCACCTTCACTAGCGAACAAATCAACGCGGCCACGTCACAAATCTCGACGGCTCCTTTCCGGAATCCGGGCCGGAATGCTGAATGTGTGGTTTTTGAGGCAAAGGTCAGGCAAAACCTGCTCCTAAATAGTTGCTAGGTGTTTAAGCGGTATGGAAAAGCACAAGGATCAACCCCTTTAGCCGGCTGGGTATCGACAGCTACGCCACGCGCCAAAATACACGTCTCAACGCTATTACAATGAGTGCAAAATTCAGGGGTGGATTACCGGCGTTCCCAAACCCTTTAAATTTCCCTCACTCACCTGGCCCAATCGCCAAAAACAGTCCTGCCATCTGGGGGAGGTGTGGATTGTAGCCGGGAAGAGATTTCGCAGTCAGGGTTGTCTCGTTTGATGAAGGGAAGCTTTTCTCGGCATCCCTCTGGAAAAACTTGTATCTAAAAAGGGGGCTTCCTACCGTGGCGATACCGTAGCCCGGGTTCGCCAAGAGCAATAAATCCGAGACCAGGTGGCTTTTCCGGAAGTGGAAAAATCGAGGCAGGTCTCCGGCTTTTGGGGCTGTGAAGAATATCTGAAAATCGGATTCGACTCGACTGGACTAGTTAGGCTGAGTAACTTCCTCTCTCTCTCTCTCTCTCTCCTCTCTCTCTCTCTCTCTCTCTCACACACATTCTGCCGCTCTCTCGATCCGGCTATCGCGCTCCACTGTCTGTTTCAATTTGCTTACCTTCACATTCGGAATTGGGCGCGTCGTGTTCAACAAGTTATAGACCTAAAACAATAAAGCAAAATTAGATTCTTAGGGCTAATTCAAATACAATTAACTGATTTGAAAAAACCAGCAAAAACCGACTTGATGCGTCTTTCCCGGCTTGGCGCGTAGTTGCATTATCGCGCCGTGGCCGACCGTTTTCTCGACGAGCTCCATTGGTAGATGATCATCGAGTGTTCGGATGTGTCCGCGCGGCACCTATAGACATTAAGTTATACAATGTGAAGCTACGAAACCTTGACAGCTTCTATGACCTTCAAAGTTCTACCTCAATCTGCCCATGCAGTGACACAAAAATCAAATTCAAGTCCACGCGTTCACGGGCGGCCGAGGCGAAGCGGTACAGCCACTAAAGATAAAGAGGAATGTAGCGCTTTTGCCTTAAAATTTAAGTGAACAACATGTCTGAATCACGAACCCCAGCCAGCCGATCCAGGGCCGTCGAGTTTCCGGCCAGCTTTCCGTGCTCCGACAGCTCCGCACCAATCCATGCGTCGTAGACGAGCGTCAGATCAGCCCATCTGAAAAAATGGTTAACCAATTAGGGTTAGGCTTGGCTTAGCCTTGGCATAGATTTCGCTAACGTTTGTCTTAGGCTTGGCGTACGCTTGGCTTAGGCTTGGTTTAGGGTGGGCTTGGGCTTAGCTTAGGCCTAGCTTAGGCCTAGCTTAGGCTTAGGGTTTAGAAACGCACTTTGTCGCGTGAAGGATCGACTGGGCAATGTTGTCATTTTCCTCTTCACTAGGAGGGGCGCGTGGCGGCACGCAGACGGTAGGTTGGGGGTCCCATTCCACCTAAAAATAATTTTCAAGGGATTGACAAGTAAGAAAAATCCATAACTACAGATTGAACTGATCGAAAACTTACAAAGCACTCCGGCAAAAAGAAGAGAGCTGTTTTCGCGCCTTGTCGAGCTGCCGTCTGATAGACGGGCGGGATGTTCCACCATTTCTGGCTATCGTAGTCGGATTCGCGGCGGAACCCCTCGAATCGATCTCCGGTCTTCCAATTCAACATGTGGTCGTCGAGAATCTCGTGCTTTTTAGGGAGCACACCTAAATGTAATTTTTCTCATTTTTGATGGGAGTTTTCGTTCGTTGCTCCGATTTCCGGAGATTTTAAATCAAATGAAAATTTTTTCTGTGTATTTTCAAAAAAAAACAAAAGCTTGACAAAATGGGTTTTAAAATAATGCTTAATCGATTCAATTTTGAGGAATTTCTGAAAAATGAAAATTCAGAGAACGAAACAATTAGACTAATTTTTTAATTTGAATTAACTAAAAACAAAAATCGCAAGAAGAAGTGGTTTTTGACGCTGCAAATTGCCTACCCGTCAACATCGTATGCCGATTTGGAAGTGGAAGCGTGGGAAAGACGGGAATCACGCGGGTGGACCTGAAAAAATTTCGGGAAAATTAGTGAAACTCTTACCATACTCCTTCGCTCTCAAACGTGTCAAACGGCGGCTTGCCGGAAAAGCGGTGGTATTCCGAGCCGGAGATGCCCTCGGCTAAAAAAGGAGTAAAAACCCCGCTGTAAATCGCGGATTTAAAGGTGCTGGGAAGTGCCAAAATCAACCCCCACCATTGCCCAGGTCTAGACAATTATGCGAATCGTCCTAAAACACGTGCAAGTAAAATTTCCAAAGCTTTACGCCAGCTCACTGGCATAAAATACAAATTTGCTGGCAGGCGAGTTTTTTTGCGTAGCGCTACGTAGCTGTCTATATATAGGGGGCAATTTTCTTACTTCCGAGTCCCTTTAAAATAGAAATTTGAGCTATTAACTTACTAATAACAACCAATAACTTCTGTGCAAAGACATAAGAATTCAGGACGAGTAGCCAGATCCCAAAAAGCCACATGGCCCGCCCAGCCGCATCTGAAAATGTTGGAAGTAGGTAGATACGGAGTCACGATATTTCATAAGAAACAGAAAAAACAAAAGCTGCTGAACATAAATTCATGGAAAGTTCGTAGTTTGACAACGAAAACGAACACAGCGAGGTCCGACTCCAGCTAGCGCCAGTCCCGTCTAGGTCGCATTAGCGATTCCAACCCGTAGAATGTCCTCGGGGTATAGGTACCCTTTTGAGGGTTGGTTGATGGAGAGGGGTCCGATTCTGATTCCCATACGTCAACCACCCTCCAAACACTAATCCCTGTCCCCCACGCTGAATGCCGAAAGCGGAACCCTAGCCTTAGCCTTCCGGAATTTTTGGCTGCTGAGAATAACATCATTCAAACGCGGCAACATCATATCCGGCGTTTTTGGGCGTGAGAAACTCAAGGCGCTCGAGAGAGAGAGAGAGAGAGAGAGAGAGAGAGAGAGAGAGGGAGAGGGAGGGAGAAAACGAGAAAGAGCATGAGTGAGAGAGTAGAGAGCGAGCGAGAAATACTAAAAAAGATTTGGATCCAACGAAATGCGAGCAAGGCAGCAAGAGGTGCGAAAGCGAGCGCGAGATCGAGACTGAATTAAATTAATTTTGGCTAAAAATGCCCACGAACTAGCAATAAGCCAACTTTTTTTAGAAAACGAGTCCCACGTGTCGTTTAGGGCCAAAGCAATACTATCGACAGCCGGGGTAGCGGGCGACCCCCATGTCAGGTGGACAAGCTGTCAAGTGCACTTGAAGATGGGCCGAAAAGAGGAGGAGACACAACCGGGACCAGGTGAAAATAATTACTTAGCCCATCTAACCAAATCAACAGCTCGTAACTTCAAAATGGCCCCCGCACCTGGAGCGTGGGAGTATGGAAATTAAGGGAACAAACGCGCAAATAAAAGGAAGAACGCGCTCGTCAGGTTTGGAACGCTCGAAAAGCATAGAAGGTGACGCGCGAAGCTTAGATTATGGCATCCAAAAATCTCGAAAACCGCAACTTTTATGGCCAGATTCAATTCCTGCGGCGGAATACAAGAAATTGCTGGCATTCTATGAAAATGAATCCTTTGAAATCCATTTTTGCATTGTGTATCCTAAATTAACACTAGCCGATTCCGTAACCGATTACTATTCCCCGGCGCCTTCCTGGGCCCTTGAAATCGAGTAAAGGCCATAGTCGTCATATCCAGCTTTTTCGAAGTGAAAGACAGGAATAAGGAGAGCGAGCGAGAGAGAGAAGGAGAGAGAGAGAGAGAGAGAGCGAGCGAGAGAGAGGGCAGAGAGAGCGAGAGCAGCTACGGAAGAATAGACACACGAAATCATACTCTTTTCGAAAGCGTTTCTAGTGTCATTGTAGCGGATAGATTTAATTGGTTAGTGTAGCAAGGCTGCGGATGGAATGACCGGATGGCATGACTAATGTCTAGGGGCCACGACTACGTTCCGTGTTAAGAAAGAAAGAAAGAAAGACAGAGAGACAGAGAGAGAGACTGAGAAAGAGAGAGAGCTAGATAGAAAGAGAGAAAATATAGACAAATAAGGGCCCTCCCCGCATCGAATATTCCGACCGACTGCAATTTACGCAATTTTCCTGTCAACTAGAGGGCGGGAGGGCACTGGTTGAACGGCCAGAGGAAAGGAGCGGAATCGGAACACTCTTTCGTGGGGTTTAAAGGGATTGGCAAGGCACGAGAAGCTCGAATATTTAGGGTCCCGGATAGCATATTGGAATCAAATTGTCAACTCAGAAATGTTACGGCCGAGGTTCTTGTGAGCAAGCAAAGATTCTTGAGGAACACTTCCTAATAATTCTAAAGGGATCGTCAAGCCAAAAAAATTTAAGTTTACAGGTTTTCAACGTGATACGTCAAGACGGGCCGAGAAATCCAGAATTTACAGCTGATGCTGTGGGCTAGCTAGCAAAGATTCTTGGGGAATTTGGCTTCAACCCTCCGCGGCATGTTGGAATGGTTCCGGGTGGCTACGCGATTACACTCAGGATTTGGGACATAAAATTTGGGCGCCCGTACCTTCCCCCCTCTACACCCTTTGGACCCCGGCCAACACCAGATTCATGGGTTGCATCTTAAAGGGGTTGTGAAGAGGAGTTGTGAAGAGGGGAAAGAGAGCGAGAGAGAGAGAGAGCGAGAGAGAGCGAGAGAGAGAGAGAGAGAGAGAGAGAGAGAGAGAGAGAGAGAGCGATACCCGCCTCGAAAGGGTGTGATATAGGGGCGACAAGCGCGGCTGTCGTTGTCTGCCCATCAACCTATAGGGTGGCACCCACCCTAAGCAAATTACCCAACCACTCACCAATCTTGAATTCGTTTTAGGCGAAGTGGGTAGGGGTTTTTAAAGGGGCTAGGAAGTCAGCCTCCTGGCATCCGGCATTTTGTCGAAAAGTGCTCCGGTGGGCCTTTGACCCTTTGGCACATTATCTGAAGACTCACCATTTACTCCAGAATGCCGACAAGTCGAAACGCCGACTGAGGAAAGATACCGACAAAAGCAAATGCCGATGTCTACAATGCCGAAATCTATAATCCCGACAGCTCATGCAGGCGTTGTTAAGTCGACATGCCGACACGTCGAAACGCTAAATGACTAGCCTAAAGGCCAAACCACCGGGGAAAATTCAATCGATTGCGCTTGCCCGTCGACATTTTGCATTGGCATTTCGGCTGTCGGTATTTAGCTTGTCGGCATTTCGGCTTGTCGGCATTCCTGTTTCCGCACAAGGTTTGCTATAGACTCAAGACCTAACTCAACAGCGAATTTTTGGCACAGAGTTAAGCTTTAGCAAGTTTTAGCGTAGAATCGGCATTTTTCCAGTTCACTGCAGAGGTAAATTTTCGCGGTTTTGTCTTCCGAGTTTCTTTAGAATCTGTTTTGCTCAATTTTCATGAATTTGAATGTTGAAGAATCCTTGTTGTCTCGTGTATTTTCGCCTGTGTTTCCTTTTAAAAATCTTTATTCTCATGGCGGCTGTGGGCTACCGGCACTACCAAACAAAAATGGCTTTAAACAAATATAATAACATACTGTCACCGGTTATCTCTTGCATTACAGTACCAAATATTTGTTAGTGATTTCCAAGGGGGGTAGTGAAGCGGGGTAGATACAACAGAGCAAAAATATGCAAAAAAAAGTAACGATAAGCCTGGGATAGAGTGGCGTACGATACGCTTCAAAATACAGGTATTTTCAAGTCATTTGTTCGTTTCGAATTTGCTTTTAAAAGATTTCGAAAATCGTGAAATCTACCGCACTTCTGAGCGTAGCGTACAGTCGGATGATACTTTCCAACCCGCAATAATACCTATATATCTCGGGGGGCACGCATGTAGAATAGAAAAATACACAAAAATACGTTAAAAATGGAAAGAAAAAGGTTTAGGACCAAAATAAGTGCAAGAGATCATTAATCGTAGTTGCCGGGGGTGCAAAGTGGTATGTACATAGGTGTAAAGTGCACAAAAATGTAATTTTGCTCGGAAAACATGAAAAATGAGGGAATCTGTCGAAAATGCCGACATGTCAAATACCGACAGCAAGAATATTCGGGATTCTTGTTTCACGGACACTTTTTCCTTTTCCGCGTCGGGATTTTTGCTTGTCGTCATTTGAGCTTGTCGGCATTTTTGTCGGCATTTTTGTCGGCATTTTAGCGAAAAAATTAAAAAAAAACTTTGGCAAATCATCGACAAGATGAGGGAGGACATGAGGAAATGAACCCGAATGGGGGATGACTGTCGTGTCGATAGGTGTAGCTTGTAATGCCGAGCGGCGTCCGATTTCTGTAATTTAAAGGGACTTAGAAGGCTGAGAAATGGCAAGGAAATTCTCAAAGAATCCCTGCTAGCTTGCCTACCTCTAGTGGTTCGGCTCGGTGGATATGTTCGCATTTTCGTCCGTACTTCCGGCAGGTAGAGGTGGAGCTTCTTCGTCAATCTGGAAAGACGGAAATAGCAAGAGCGAGAGAGAGAGAGAGAGAGAGAGAGAGAGCGATAGAGAGAGAAAGAGAGAGAGCGATAGAGAGAGAAGAGAGAGAGAGAGAGAGAGAGAGAGAGAGAGAGCAAGAGAGCAAGAGATATATATCTGAAAGAATTACCTGCGCTACAATCACAGCCACTGGCGCTCCTTGGGGCGTCTGGGGCTCCTTGTCCTCATCAACAACTTCTACATCATCATCAATGACAGATTCCGCAAGGCTCCGATGGACGGCTTCTTCATACGAAGGCGGAGCACCAGCTGAGCCATCGACGAGCTCGACTGAGCAGTAGGATGGAGGAGGTGTCAATGATCTGAAGGGGATTTTGATGTGGGCCGTCTAACAGAGATCATTTGGGAATATACATGGGTCGACGCTTGCATGCGCCGCATAAGCGTGGCCGGCCACGCTCTTCCGGAGCGTGGAGAGCCACGCTGGCGCGCGTGCTTCTTAATAAACCACGCCGAAATGAGCGTGGCTCGCCACGCTCCGGAAACGCTTATGCAAAGTTTCTAAAAATGCAAAATCAAAGTTTTCCAAGGGACATGAAAACAAAAATCGAGCCGTTTTCGAGAATTTAACTAACAAGAAGTTGAATCACGTTCTATCTTGCTTATTTATCAAAATTTAAAAATGCCCCTGATAGTTATGTATCGGCAATTCATTTTTGCAAATCGAAATCATAAATATATGTCCTTTAAATTTTTGATTTGCATCTGGAGTTAAATCGCGCGCGTGAAAAAGCACGCATAAAGCGCCGCATAAGCGTGGTCCTCCACGCTCCGGAAGAGCGTGGCCAGCGACGCTGATGCGGCGCATGCAAGCGTCGACCCATGTATATTTGGGAACGTCGAAATCGATTTTAAAGGAACGATGAAGACATGACTCCTACCGATTATTCCTGGCAATGCGCGCCTGCGTGGGCGCCCTGGCTGGCGTTCCAACTAAAAGCGCTCTGTCTCGTGGAACCCAAGCCCCACCACAGACGAAGTCGTGACGACATCTTCGGCCAGCCGCCTAAAGCGTGGGTAATTTACAGTAACCAGGTGGGATACCTGGGGCTGGAAAAAGCGGTACCACGTCTCGTCTGAGGCCGGGATAGAGGAGGCGGTGAGGCGTCTCCTTCTGGAAGGTCAGCAAAACTTCGCACAAAAAAATTTACCTGGCCGTGATGCAGAGTAGGCCGATGGTGATCAGGCAGAAGGAGAGGCCGGAGAGGGTCAGACGAGAATTGACCATGCCTAGAAAAAGCCGGTTCGAGAGTTGTATGATCATCGCTCACTCTCTCTCGCTCTCTCTCTCTCTCTCTCGCTCTCTCTGGTTCTCTGGCTCTCTCTCGTGCTCTCTCTCACTTCTATAACCCACCTTTCGGTCTTCTTTCGATCAGCCCAGGGCAGTCGATGCGGTGCGAATGTGGTATCGCGCGCGCCTCGTCACCTAGAAAATTCAAATGCAAACGATTAAATTTTTTTATCCTTAATACTATAGTTTCAATCGTAAGCTACCTACCCGTATTCTTGCATATACATCTCCCCATCACATTGTCCCAGTGGGCAATCGTGGGATCGCAGAACTGGTCACAGTATTTCCCGAGTCGAAGTGGTGGGCAATCGCAGGTCGCTGTAAAAGTATATACCATAAGAGCGAGAGAGAGAGAGAGAGAGAGAGAGAGAGAGAGAGAGAAAGAGAGAGCTCAAAACATACCTCGAGTCCCATTTCTTTCCACTTCACCATGGCACGTCAGCTCGCAATTCTCGCCCATGTGTTGGCCGACGCATTCGCATTTTCCGTCACTGTAAATTTGATGTTAATTGATTGATTCTCGTCCTGGTAAATCTAACAAGAGAGAGAGAGAGAGAGAGAGAGAGAGACAGGGGAGAGTGTGAGATAGAGCGAGAGAGAGACAGCGAGATAAAGAGAGTGAGAGAGCGAAAACAAGACCGAGAGCAACAGCGTAAATGAAAGCCAGTGTCAGTGTAATTCAATGTCAATTTCAGCCTGGCAGAGCAATACGCAACGTCAGAGGTAATTAGAAAATGAGCGAGAGCGAGAACAACATAGAGTGAGAGAGAGAGAGAAAGAGAGAGCGAGAGAAAGAGAGAGAGAGAGAGAGAGAGAGAGAGAGAGAGAGAGAGAGAGCGAACGAACGACACTTACACAAGTGTCCCATTGTTGATACATTTCCTAAACTCGCATCTGGGTCCCTCGAAAAGCGGCTCTCGCCCCTGATGCAAGCATGCGCATCCGATCTTCCCATCAGCTTCTCGCAGATATCCATGATAGGAGCAGTCCTGCACTATCCAGTTTTTCACTGAAAAACGGTGCGTTTTAGCCTAGGCGTTAAATGGAAATGGAATCATATAGTATCTATGCTAAAAGAAAGAAAATACCTAATTCTTCGGCCATCCTTTGACTTCCGAGCGGATACGAGTCCGTCTCATCTGTGTTAAAGTCAAGACCGGTACCGTAGACGTCCTGAAAATGCAGGTTTTAAGGGTTTCAGAAAATGCGAGAATTGACCTGTCGCGTCAACTAGGTCTCGACAACTACGCGACACTCCAAAAGACGTATGAAATTGAATTGACGCGTAGCTGTCGAGACCTAGTCGAACCGGGAGGTCGATTTCCGCGCTTTCTAGCCTTTTGATGATCAAATTCCGATACGCACCTTGTGATGACTATGAGGTAGTAGTGAAAATATGTAAATGAGGGCGATGAGTAGTATCAACAGCAGCGGGCCCACCCACACTTTCCCCGACGACATTTTGCAGCCTGGAGAAGTTGGATGTGGGGCCGTGGAGTGGTGGCGGCTTCTAAAAAAATAGAATATTTATTGCTTACCACTTTTGGAATTAGATTACACCAATGAGATAAGTTTATGGCATTAAAAAACGGCAAAGCTTACAAGAAAATTACGATTAAAACATTTAAAATAGCCACTACCACAAAATTAAAACCGTGATTAGAAAGTGCTAAAGATTTCGACTTGTTTGCAGCTATTAAAGGACCTCTGAAGGCAAAAACCGGGTGGATTTTCCCTAATCTCCAATATTTTCGATACTTGCTACATGTTGGCTCTTTGGCATTATCGGGGGAGGAACGCATAAATTTGTCGTTCGCATCAAAGGTTTATTATATAAAAAAATACTATTTAATAAAATTTCTTCAATAAATTCCGGAACGCCACATTTTTTCCGAATTTATTTTAAACCAAAAATATTTATCATTTTTAAAATAATACACCATTTTTGACATTTATCACCGATTCTGACCAAAAAGCGCGTTTTAAAATTTTTTAACGTTTTTTAGGTAGCTTACGACCTGGCATGTGGTTAAATTTTTACAAAAAGACTGTTCAAATACTTTTTAGGCTTTACTAGGCCTATGTAAAAAAGCTGTTTCCTTTCCATTGCTTCCAAGTCCCTTTAACATCATATGTAAATTTACCTCGCCCTGTGCGACACCGGATAAGTGAAAAATGGCGGTGGTAGCATAGTTAAATCAGGTCAGAATATTTGTGAGTACGTTCCGCTACTAATGTCGATTCGAATCGATCGACCACCCGGAAAGCAAAGGCCACTTTCGGTCGGTTTCGAGAGTCGATGAGGAGTAGAAGAAAAATTGAGGGGTGGTGGTGGGTGAGCATGTTTACCAAAGTGCTTCCTCCCGCTCTCTGGTCACAAGGCCATCACACAACCATCCACACTACCTATGCCCCCCCGGAAATTCACCAGATCGGGGGTAATTATCAAAATTTACGACCCGCGCCATGGGTGTTGCAGTTTTTGGAGGGTGTTCCGTTGCGTCGGCCGCGGTTTTTCGGAAAAACAATGCTCGATTTCCAGGAAAAACCTGGCCATTTCCGGATTCGAGCGCGGGAAGGCGCGGTAGTGATGGGCTTTGGGGATATTTTTAGTAATCAGAGTCGAGATACGGCCATTTTTAATCCCATTAACATGAATTATATTAGGTCAATACTTATTACATTATCCTATATCACCAATTATGTAATTATATTTATTTATATTTATTTATTAATTATGTAATGCTTCGCATACTTGTTGTATTGTTTGGGCTATATTTTTGCATGTCAGAGAATTTTCTGGAATTTTTAAATCATTTCTTAACTTAAAGATCGTTGTTTAATCCATTTACTAATGTTAAAATTTGTATTATAATATTCGAAATATTTTTCGGATTAAAATTGTTAATGCAGGATCTGAAAACACACATTTCGTGCAAAACGACTTGTCATATCCGTTTTTTAGAGAATATAAAACTTTCAACGAACATAGTACAAAGAAAATTTTTATATTAATAGTTTAATATAATGCTATTTTATTATTATATTAAAAACAAAAGAATATATATAAATTTCCACTACGTCTTGTCCCAATTTCCGGTAATTAAGGTCAATTCTAAGGAGGGGTTAGGGCAGAAAAATGAGGGGGACATTCGGAGGGCAACTGACGGAGACTAAGGGAAAAGAGAAAGACGAAGAGGAGGGGGAAACCGAAAAAGCTGTGGGGTGTCCGTTTCAAATTTTGGGCCCCCGCCGCGGAGAATGAACGTCGACAGCTAGCCACCAAACCGGCAGGAAAGAGCCGGCAAAAAAAATAAAATAAAAACGGGGTGCCCCGGACAGCCGGGGCGTTGAGATCCCAAAGCGTGATAACCCCAGGAATCGGGGATGGATCGATGAAATGTCACCTTGGGGGAACCTGTTTTGTTATTCGGTTTCTGGGTTTTTGGAAAGGATGTTCTAGTGGCTCCTCGCAAAAAAACAGAATTTTATTTAGGAAAAGCTTGACTACTTTAACGTATATTTTCGTGCTCAAAACATGGGGACAAAATTCACAAACACAAAAACACTTGGAACCATTAAGAACGATAACATACCAAATCGAATTTTCAGGTAATTAATTGCAGCGAAAAACTTTTTCTTAAAGCCTTTAGAATGAGGAGACACAGAACTAGCACAGCTGACTCTGATAGTGAGCTACACCTCCGGGGTTTGTAGCCATCGTGCAAAAGTCTCCGCCTATTTAAAAACTTTGCTGTCGCCAAAACCATAAGTACATCTCGCTGCATAGAAATTTTTCGAATCGGAAGGTGCAAACTAACTCTGCAAATGGTTTTGGCCAAATCTGATGCTGAAAACTTTAAGCTCAGGCTCAAATTTCTAACCGATAAAGCTAGCCCGCTAAAAATGACATGTTTGAGCTTCGAAAGCCGATTTAAAATTTACACAATCGGCGGATTAAAAGGTTCCAAGCTCAGCCGATATATCCTCACAAATGTGCAAGAATACCGCTGTTTCGCTAAAAATGTATTTTTTTGAGCATTTTGAGCTTGAAAAGCGCAAGCCAAAAGACCGCCGAAGCCAAAGAACCACAGATAAACCGTAAAAAAACCCTTGTTATTGCCTTTTCAGGTGTAAATGATCTTGTGGGGGGTTAGCAGGGGGTAGGATGTATGGAGGAGAAACACCCGCGGACCCGATGACCGTCACATCAATCACCTGGGATTGGGGAGAGATGGGGGGAATGGGGGAGAGGGCAGAGAAACCAGACGAGAGAGATTAGGAGAGAGAAGAGAGAGAGGGGGAAAGAGAGAGAGAGTGAGAGAGAGGGAGCGAGATAGAGGGAGGGAGAGGGATAGACGAAGCAAAAAGAAGTGACAAGCGGACCACGGGGTTTTGTTGAACAGACCCACAAGCCCGGCGCAAATTTCGGTGAGGGATGGACGTTCGGTGGGCGCAAAAAACAGCTGGCTGGGTGGGAATCGAGAAATCAAGGTCAGCAGGTTCAGCTTCAACATTAAGAATCCGGGAATCGATTTAGACCGTTTTTCCAGATGCATACAATACCTAAAAAAATTTTAGAGCCGAAAGGATGAAGCTCGCTTAGGCGGAGGAATATTTCTCTTGAAGCCATACCTGATTTTTCTAGACTTTTCTCAATTCCTACACGACGCTAAAAATCGAAGAAAAAATAAGCAGAAAGAATAGATATCTGAAACTTGAAGAATAGACTGAAGATCGCCAGCTTTTTATGACATTCGTCGATTCAGCTCGACGCAAACCGCTTTTTTTTTACTTAACAAGCAGCCACATGAGCTTCCCTTCAAAAAGCCGAATTTAGATCAATACAATATAGAAATTTGTGGATAGAAACACGTGTAACGTATGCTAATTTCTGGTATAGGGCCAATTAAAGATTGCCAGAACTCTGGAACGCACACTGTCACCCCGGGGGTGCGCCCCCCCAAGAACGCGCAGAGAGAGGCGTCATTAGTAGCGCCACGTACTGGGCAAAGGCCCTCTGGGGTTTGGGGCGCCTCTGACTCGGCCCTGTGGTATAATGGCTGGCGCGTCGGACTGTGGAGCGAACCATCGCGGGTTCGACTCCCGCCCGGTGCGCGACTTTCTTGCTTTTAACGAAATTTCATCGTTCTGACGGTCTTTATATGACCTTCATGTCCATACTTTTAGCATCTGAGACATTTTTCCAGTAGTTTTCGCTTCGTAAAAGATGAAAGCTAGCTGGGAAGGCTTTCTAATTGTCAGATGTTTCCTAGAAACCGCAATAATAATAGGGTTAAAAACAAGGTTTCAAAATCTTGGCAACCCTCCAAGCCCCATAAATCAAGCTGGCGAAAATATTGGGACATATACTCTTGGGTTTCCGAGAGGTAGTTGGGGGGACGCAAGGTAAAGCCTCGTGAATTATTTTTGAGGTTAGCGGGAGGACAGCAGGCGAGAGAGAGGGAGAGGAGAGAGAGAGAGAGAGAGAGATAGAGCGAGAGAGAGAAAGCGCGACGCAAGCCAGCGAATGTTTTGCTTTTTTGGGGCGGGGGCTGGCTCACGTGTGCTATGCTTGGGTTGAGGGGACATTCGTTTTGGAAGGCCCCCCGCTCCGCTTCTGCAACAACAAAATATACGCGCCTTTTCGGCTGCTGTATAAACATACAGGCCTGTTACGAGTAGCCAAACGGAAAAACGGAAAAAGGTGGCCAGCCCACGCAAATTTGTTAATTTAAAGCTTTTTGTCCAAAATTGCCTAATTTGTGATGGTTTTTAAGCCGTAGAGTGCACAAAAAGCCTTGAAAAATTGGGAATGTAAGGTTTAGGGAGTGACAGTATTTTAGCGGGACCGTAACGGATACAAAAAGTTAAGGAATTCTCAGAAAGCGGGCAGGATCTGAGAGACTTGGGCCAGAACTTGATAAATGACAGTAAAAGGTTCACCTAGAGACCAGAGATAGGGTTGACGCACGAGAGAGAGAGAGAGAGAGAGAAAGAGAGAAAGAGAGAGTGAGTGAGCGCTACAGGGAGAGTGGGAGTAGACGCGCTAAAGTTTACTTTTCGATTCATCACCGTTCTGCCCCGGATCTTCAACTGATTTCGAGCGATGAATTTTTAGGTTCAGAGCTTCTTTAGAGCTCTAGGGCAAAGATTACCGGCCTGCAGTCATCAGTCAAAACCCCCAGAAGAATGACGGATTGGCCTTCTTGTCATTTTTTTTGCCGGAAAAATGGCCCCAGACGATGATGAGGGTGATGATGAGGGCATGAGAAAAAAGCAAAAAACGGAATGTGAATTCGGAGGCTCAAGAATTTTGAAGAAAATTGGAATTCCATAAAATCGAGGATTTCTAAAAAAAACCAGATCGATCCCTATTCACAGAAAAATTTTAAGAGCCGGAAATTTCGTGACCTTTTCGTAATCGAAACTGCTCTTGTGTTTTTTTTGAAAACCCCGAAAGGAAATTATTCAATCGCCATGATCCTGTATTGCATGCATCTTCAGGCCTTCTTCTATAACGTTTTCTCGGCGATTTCTAGATAGAAAAAGGCTTCGGAAGATAAAATATTTTTTTCCTGACGTCAGTCGCTTTAAAACCCCCAAAACCCGATCAATCCCGCAATCCAGTGGCCAAAAAACCCCAGACAAATTTTATGGCCTGCCGAATGACTCGGCCTCGAGCAGGGGGGAGGGAGGGGATAAAAAGGCGACGGAAATCAAAGCTTTTTGCCGGCCTCCCGATTTCTGCCTCTTTTCTTTGATGGTGCCGTTGTTTTGCGGTGGTGGACATGGGCCCCCTCCCTTTTCCCTCCTCGTTGAAATCGGCTTTCCGGCTGTTTATCGCTCGCTTCGGGCTTTCCGGGGGCCACCGCTCGGCAGTTCTCACCGCTGGCCCCGGAAAATCGAGAAAAACGGAGGGGCGGATGGCCAAAAACCCCCGGGGCCCATCCCCGACTAGAGAAAAGCCGGAAGTTGTGTTGCCGGGGTTGCCCTTGCCGGAGTTGTCGGATGTCCGGGTAGTGTAACCGAATTTGTTGTTGTTCGGAAAGTTGGGGTAGGCATTGGGTTGGCTAAGGAGACCCTTTTTTTTCAGGAAAAATGCCAAAGCAACTATTTGAAATTTTTGTCGCGGGAAAGAAGCGCATAAAAACTGGGTAGGCAGGCGTACTGTAGATTATAAAAGACGTACGCGAAATTCATAACGACGAAAAATGCATCTAAAAGGAACCGCGCCAGAAAACTCGCCTTAAAATCTCCTAAAATCGGAAGTTTGAAAGTCGTCCCAAAATGGTTCTAAGGAATCGAGATCCAAAAATGCGCCCGACGCTCTCTCTCTCTCTCTCTCACTCTCTCTTGCTCTCTCGCTCTCGCTCTTTCTCTTTCGCTGTTTCTCTCTCCCGCTCTCCATTTAAGAAATATTTTTTAGTTTTTTATCGAAAATAACCTAAATCTACCTACCTAAATCGAATCTAGTGAATCAGCCATATTTTATTTCTTTAACTGTTTCTGCTAGAATGCCATCTATACCGAACGTAGCCATGAATTATGTCGCTTCCCCGACTCGAACTCTGCGCTTCATAAACTCCCCAGTGGTATTTGCTAGCTTGCCGTGATCCGAGAAACAACAATCAGAGCGTGATTCGAAAAATTCGAGTTTTTGAAACGCGGATAACGTTTGTTATATGTTATTTATTTTATGCAAAAATAACTTTTTCGTTGCATTCCTATGGACACCTATTCCAGAGCGAAAACCACGAATTTCAAGGTTTCCTTCTCGGGCCAGTCACAGATCGGAACAGCCCGCAGCGAAAAACCTCCAAAACGAATGCATGACCTTTATGAATAGCTACAACGAACCGGCGGGTAGACTACGCGACGCTACGAAAAACGATTTATACGCAGGAAATGGCAACTGGCCGGAAATTTGGAGGAGAAAGGAATTGGGGTATTCGATTTCGAGGCGGAACGGCAAAAACGCGTCTGCTTTCTTCGAATGGGAAGCGGAAAGTCTAGCGGATTTGGTTGGAATCGGGTTTTGCGGAAATTGGGGAAAGGTTTGAAGAAACGGAAATGGCCACACAGACGTACAAACAGACATGCACACAAATTTTCAGTCAAAAACTTGCCAATCCCGGTGCGTAACTTTCGGTTCGACCCGTCAATCTCAGCTTTTAAAAACGTGTGATTAATGCTTATAGAAATTCGATAATTAGCGATTTATAATAAGCATCCTGCTTTGATTTAAAGAACCCTGCAGATTTTTGAAAATGAAATATTATTCGACGACCTCTAATTATTCTTTGCAACGCTAGTTTTTTAGCCTGTTACCTATCAGTATTACTCAATTTTTTATTTTGTACTCAACTATTTAAACTAAATTCATAAAAAACCACTAAATTCTAATTTTTAATTTTTGAACAATTCTTAACTTAATCCGGCGAGACCAAAGTAGAGAATCTTCAGAAAGAAAACGCTAGAATCATCCAAACGTTAAATCCCCCGAGAAGCCCTACACTGGCTAATTGGCGATTTCCCCGGCAAAACCGATTTCCACTTTTGATCAATTTCGAAAATATAAGTAAGATTTTAGCGGTAAGTTAACAATTAAACGCCGAACTTATAAAATTTATGAAATTTTGAAAATGGGTGCATTAATGATAAAGTAGAGTGGCGCTTATTCAAATCAGATTTGAATAAGATTCAAATTATTCAAATCAAGCCGATTTGATTTGAATTGGAGCCGATCAAATCAAATCAAATCGATTTGATTTGAGTTCTACCAGTTCAAATCAAATCCAGCCGATTTGAATAATTTGAATAAGATCTCATCGAAATGAATCCAACGCAACTCGTAATTCGTGCATCGCTCTGGCCCTATAATCTCTTAGCATTGTTCCAGCGTTCCATTTAACGATTCCTTATACATTTTCTATTGTTTTTACGCTTTAGCTTTTGCAAAGAAAAACCATAGCGCAGGCTAAATCTGACAAGTAAAACCGTCTGGCTCATTTTTATATAAAAGTCATCAAAACACCCATGAATTATTGTAAAAGACACCTAAATGTGCAGAAACGGCGCTATCAAAAACCCTCCGAACTGGCGATTTTCAATTTGCATCCCTGATAAGCCTGTTGTTCAAATCCCAAATCAAATCGATTTGATTTGAGTTGGCCAGCCCCTAATTCAAATCAAATCGATTTGATTTGAAGTTGATTTTTTGGCACTCAAATTTGCTAATTCAAATCAAATCAATTTGAAGCCGATTTGATTTGAATAAGCGCCACTCTATGATAAAGTCGTGCGCATAAGCGATACGAATATAAATAGTGACGCTAAGGCTAACAAGGCGTAAAACGTAAACAACGTAAACAACGTAAAAGGTAGCAGTTGAAAAGTCAAAAAGGTTGATGATGGTGAGGGGTGAGTGAAGGGGGTGGGGCCCGCCTTGGGGCCCACGAGAATGGATCGATCCTAGCGAGGGGAGGAGGAAGCAGAAAAAGAAGACGAAGAAGAAGGGGATAGAAGGAAAAGCTGCCAGTCTCTCTAGCTCAATGAAGTTCACTCGCTTTCTCTCTCTCTCCCTCTCCCCTCTCTCTCTCTCTCCCTCTCTCTTTCTCTTCCTCCCATTTCACTCGAACACCCCCCTTCAGCATCCCTCAAAAAAATGCCTCTTCCTTATGGAATTTTTCAACGCCTCAACGGGGAGAAATTTTCGCCTGGGCCCTAATGGGCCCTTGGGCCCTAAGAAGAGCCTTGGAAGAGCCAAAAAAATTGGGGCTAAAAACTCGGCGCGTTGAAGACAATTGTGAGGCGATGCAAGAGCCCCGGTTTCGAGTGGAATTCTAAAGATGCCATTCGGGAGGTGACGAAAAGAGGAATGTTGGGAGCAAAGAACGGAAAGTGTTTTGAGGGGTTCTCGGACTTTTAAAGCGGCTGGGAAGCCATGAAAATTATTTTAAGTGGTTAATTAGGGTGCTGTTTGACGCGTCTTCCTCAAAAAGCTTTTGCTAGCCTGCCTTAGCTCTATATTCATATGCTTTTTCCAAATTTAATACCATTTTAAATCTAACCAGTGCCCGAGCGTTTTCCCAAATGATCTTTGCTAGCTTGCTAAGAATTCAACAAATTTCTTCAATAATCTCTGCTAGCCTGCCCCCAGTTTGGTTCATTCCTAAATAATCTCTGCCAGCCTGCCCATGATCCAAATGCTAAATTTAATTTTTAATTCATCAAATTGCTTCTTGAATCTTCTTCACTAGCCTGCCTCTAGCGGAGCTTTGAATCCCAGCGCCAAAAGGTCAAAATTCAGGGCCCGAATTCCGGAAATGGAATTATAAATTTGCAATTCCTCGATGATGTCAAGACGTAAGGTGGCCTCACGCGGATTTTTTATGCTAATTACCCAGCCCAGCTCGAGCCCTCAAAACAGGAGCGCGACTAATTTGCGCCAGCCCATTTTTTGGTGAGCTCCCGATGATGGGGGGATTTGAATAAAATTTGAAGGCAAATTGGATCAAATTGGAGAATTCGGGAGGCGAAATTGAGTTTTCTTTGTCTCCCCGACTTCAGCTCCAATTCAGCCAGCGGCGCGTCTTCCGGAGATACGAGAAAAAAGTTGGCCTTTTTCCGGGCTGGCTGGCTGGCTGGTTGGCCGCTCCGGAATAATCCACTTTGAAGGGAAGAGAGAGCCGGAGACAGCAGAATCTAGAAAAGCTCCTCCACCTCCTCCCCGGCCTGAGGACCACATTTCGTGGTGGGACCCCCGGGGGCGGACACAAACATGCTCTTCTAAATGGCCGGGACGGGCTAGGCTGGCTTAAAAAACTGATCCAACTTCTCCGGCGGACAACGGTAAACACGCCGCCGTAAATGGGATTGTAAGGTAGTCTGCAGGCAGGGTAGGAGAACAACATTTTGATGAGTTGCGTAGGTTTTCTGGACTTTGAACTCATGCTGAGAGAGAGGGAGAGAGAGAGAGCGAGAGCGCGAGAGTGAGAAAAAGTGAGGTTTGGGAAAATCTCATATTACAATTATAGTGCGAAGAGCCCAATAAATATTTACTACAAACACTATTTTTAGACTTTTGTTAGAATTCTTGAATTCCGCGCGAGTCCTTTCCAAAGTGACGCCGAGCTCGTGCTCCAATGCCATCGTAGAAGCAGCGCTTCATCGGCTCGAGTCTGGAAACGACGAGATTGCTAGAGAGAGCAAGACAGAGAGAGAGAGAGAGAGAGAGAGAGAGAGAGAGAGCAAGAGAGTAGACGTCCTAAAAGGGCTTGCGAGCTAGAAAGAATCTTAAACCAACTTTTCAACACACGGCAGGTAGCTGTGGTCCACTGGGGTAAATTTGTCCGGGGTCTGGTCGCAGAAGAGGACGCATTTTCCGCCTAAAAAGGAAAAAATTCTATTTTTTTTGAAATAACAAACCAGCCAACGATTCCCCGACCCCAGATTCCACACAGCACTTTCGTTGGTCCATCCCCTGCAATGGAAAAATTATGGATATTGCGATTTTTTTCAAACCTGGGCGGAGCAGAACTGGATTTCCGGGACGAATTCTAGGGGGCATTCGCTGTGACCGAGGTATATGTCTTCTAGGGCCTAAAAATGGTGGTATAACTTTGCCTTAAATAGGAGCTTACTGTATTAATATGGAAAAAAAGATAACGATTCTATCACTAACCTGCTTGGTATAAGCATTAAAGTGACACAGCTGGCGGCAGGCCTTCGGAAGCGCGCGCTCCTCGCAGCACCGGTGGAAGAGATGATTTGGGTTCTGAAGCGGAAATAAATTTATGCAGGAAAAAAGCCGCTGATCTGAAAACCTATCTGCCCTAGATATCCTATCCAACGAGCCGAAAGAATTTCTCCCGGACTTCTCAGGCCCTTTGAAGTCACTTTCCGATTACTGTAGCGCGCCTAGGACTCGGACAACCACTCTTCCGTCGAGAAAGTGAAAAATTTCTGCTTTGGACGTCGTTCCGCTTAGGTTTTTGTGCTTGCCGGCCGGGCCTGTTTAAAATCCATATTTCTGAGTGTGGGAAGTCTAGAGCTCGAATTCCATACCGTAAGCAGTGGCAACGTCTCCTGGTCAACCCTCAAGTCCGTTCGGTTCCAGATTGACAGGCCAAAGATATTCCCGTCGTCTTCGGGGCTTGGGACTTGCATCTGAAAGAAAAAATGGGCGTAATTTGGCGTAATTCGTACCTCAGCATCATGCGTCTTGGCTGCCCTGGCCCGGGCTTTGGCTCGACATCCACAGCATCCGCAGGCCCCGTTTGGGGAACACTAAAACGTAGAATTTCATCGATTTTAAAGGAGTATCGCGGCGTCGTTTTCCGCCTCTGAGAGGTAGCGGAAAGAGTATCGTCGCGTAGTTTTGACGCGCGTCAAAGACCGTCTAATGTAAGGCCCTTTGATGCGTATTTGTTTGCGTTTTTGGGCTCTTTGGAGGTATCTATAAAGCGTATTCCCGCGTAGTTTATGCGCACTGAAGTTTATCTGTAAAGATTATTTCAGCTTAGTCTGTGCCTTTCGTTCAGAAATTAGTTTAGGAAAAGTTACGCTGATCCAGGGGACTAAATAAAGTAGTTTTTAGTAACTTTTGAAAGCCAACGCAAAAACCCACCGCCTGGCCAGTCGCCAGCAAGCAGAAGATGACCAATAACAGCGGCAAGGCCTCCATAGTATTGCTTCGTACTGGTCAGTTTTTCGTACTTTTATACGCGATGTTCCTATAGACGAGTAGGGGGTAATTATCCTCTCCGGCTACCTACTTCAGCTGACCATTGGGGTGCTTGAGATCTGCCATATCCACCCACTTTTCGGCTGTATACGCGTATTGTTATGCCGTCATTAGGTATCGTCGCATACTCGTTGGGAGACACTTGGCTGAAACAGGTAATAAAGCCGCATGGCACAAACGTTACTAGGTGTAATTTGGAAAAAAGGTCGAGATACCGGGTTTTAAAAGTACCGGGAAGGCAAAAAAACTCGCAGCGAAAAACTTGTAGATGCCGGGTTGCCGACTAGCCGTGGGAGCAATTCAAATTTTTCGGCAAAATCGCGAACTTTAGGCATTCCGCCACGCCGAACGGTGAAAATAACTCTCTAAACGGCTGGCTGCTGGTCTTTATTGGCCTACCGTACCCTGGGAAAACCGGGGAGAGGGCGGGCTGACCTCACAAAAAGGTCATCGTCGTATTGGCTCTTTGCCGCGCCACCGCCGCCAGCTGGGGAGGCTGGGGAGGAAACGGAGCAACATATCGTCCTCTTCAGAAAACGCCTAAAGAAAAGTGGTAACGTTAAAAACAATTGTATACCTTCAACTCCTGATTAGATACTTTATGGATTAGATATTTTCATTGCCAAAACGCGAAGATTGGTGATGAAAATCGAATATCCAAATTTTTCTGCATATCTCCGGTTTTTTATCCGTATATACAGCTGGGCCGCCAACGTGATTATCTAAATGACGCATTGATCGAGTTCACTAAGTATACGAACTTCTGATAGTCACAGCAGATCAGTAGCGTAGCCGCGGATCAGACTCCTCGGCAGCTGGTTCTCCTGGACGAGTTGTGAAGCTTTTTTGCATACTTAAATATATTACGCATCTGGAAAACATTTCCTGCATGACAAAGAGGCTTACCGTCGCGCTCGCCACCAAGATCCGCTGATTTCCGGTTCAACAGTTTTAGTTTTTGGTCGTTCGGAGGGCGTCTTCGTCCTCGCATCAACCAAAATACCCTTGCATTTTGATATATATTTTTCCTACAATCCAGTTATTTGGTACCAATTAGGTTTTTCAAAATCTGAAGAGCATATTGATGATTTTTCCTAGGTCACCTTACCCCTGATTGAGTAGTAATACGGCCGTAGCCTACAGGCACATTTTTCGCGTCAGCCGGCTGGCACCCGGCTGGTTGTAGTTTGTTGGCGGCTGCGATCTAAAACGACGAATTAACGACAAAAAGGCTATTACGAGCTGGACAACGTTCGGAAGACGGTGTTCCATATGTTTAGGTTAGAACACCATAGCAGCTCACATACTAATGATCGTTTCTGATGTCACGGTACTGACCACCTTCAATGTCACTTTCGAAAAATTCTAAAATCATGGAGTTAAAGACAAAGATGTCATTCCCACCCTTAAAACATCCGGCAGCTGCTGTTCTTCATATTTGAGGTTGGATGGCCGTGGTGTTGGAGACACCATTGCTGGGAGGTCGATTCTCAGGTCGAGGTGCCGCTCACCTTCCACACAGCTGGCGCATTTCAGAGGTCTGGAAAGATTATAAAAAGCTATCCCCACCTTGACAACATCGGGAAGCGGGTGGTCCCCATCTTTAGGTCGACTCCAAGCTGTCATGCATGCATTAATGGCCAGCAACGCTTGTGATGCACAGCCTCGGGCATTCCTGTCTAAAAACTGATTTCTGTTATTTGTCAAGAAATCTAGGGGCAGCGACAATGTTCTGAAAACCGAGACAAACGTGAAATTTCTGAAAACGAACGCACCTGGAGCACGACGTCTTCAGAAGCTCCCTCTCTTCCTCAAATACACGGCCAAGACTTGTAGGGATTCCTGAAAATTTTTGTACAAAAATTAGCAAAGCCTTTCCAAAAGTTCTGCGACTCCTCCTCAAAAATTATTCATGTCTGAAGTTAAATTATGACAACATTTTATCTTATGACACCAATTCGGCGGTTTTGAATGAATGGCCTAAAGGGATCGTGCATCGTAATTTCGCCAGAATCCCTCAATCAGGACCGGTGAAGGCCGACAGATGGATTACAACCGAAAAATGCTGAATTCTAGAAATTTTAAAATTTTTTCTAGCTGATATGGATTGATGGCTATCAGAATCGGCGGCGGCCTACGCAGGGCTTCACTTGACAGGCTGAAGCCGTCGGGGAGACGGCCTAAACACTATCGTTGATTTTTCGAGAAACTAATCACTTCAGAGGGCGACTTCGAGGATCACTAATCTTAAAGTTGTAAGTTTTTTTTAATTTTTTGAATATTTTGTTTTGCAGACAATTTTGAACGATGGGATCGCACATCACAAAGCCGATTCGATGCCAAATTTACAAGACAGTTCAGGTATTTATTCGACAGTTTTTGACACAGGATTGGTTGCGGGGGTTTTCTCGCCAAGACTGATCCTACTATACAGGGTGTCCCAAAAAAAAACGACCCATCTGGCATTTCGCCGTGTTACATCCAATCGGTCCCAAATTTGGACCAGAGGTGTATCAGACCCTAAATAACAACAATCCTGACTTTTAGCCCCGTAGCTACAGTCGTTCTCGAGTTATAGCAAAAACAAAATTTATTTTCCATTTTTCATAGGGTGTCCGTGGAATTCGGCCCCCTAAACATTGAGTGAAAATGATCCGGTAGGCCTTCTTTACCGTAAGAAATTTTTTCCAGAGTAAAATTAATTAAATAAGCTTCGATTTAAGCAATTTTTACAACGCAAAACTACCCCAGTTCTTAAGCGAAATTAGGGATTCGCAGCCGGAAGTCGATGCAAATCGATGCAAAGTCCAAAAGATAGCCGATAAAACTGTTCAGAATTCCGGGAAAAACAGTATTTTCGTTATAACTTTAAAACTACTGCAGCTATGGGGCTGTAAGTCAGGATTGTTGTTATTTAAGGTCCGATACACCTCTGGTCCAAATTTGGGGCCGGTTGGATGTAACACGGCGAAATGCCAGATGGGTCGTTTTTTTTTGGGACACCCTGTATATAAAAAATAGTGTTTGTGTGTGTGTGTGTGCCACTTTGCATGCAACTTCCGTCATTATGTTCCAGTCGTATCTCGATAGGGGAGGAAGTTACGGGTATGTTTGATACGCCAAAAGGTGCGTAATGGTCATGGCACGACTGCACACATATCAGATTTTACAAAAAGTGCTATTTTCGACATTAAAATCAAGTTTTTATGAAAATCCGGGTCCACCTCTTTGTTAGGAAACAATTTGCATGCGCCGGAAGTGGTGAAAGCCTATATAAAGGGACAGATGGGATGTTTATCATTTTTCGGCATGGGTATTCGTGAACAAATATGTTAATTGCAGAATATCAAGGGATCAGACGGGGCCAGGGTTGAAAAGTCGCGAAGCGGCTTTTCAACCCTGGTTTTTACTAAAATTGGCCCCAGCGTGGTATTTATGCATTAATGACTCTAAAAACGCTAACGGATCTATCGGGCGACGAATCCGCAATTCGGCGCCATCTCGAGAATTCAGTCCATGACGCCTAAAAAAATAAAATTACTTCTAGCATTATTTGGATAGCACGGGAAAGTTCTTGGTTGGAAAAGAATTCTGTAAACTGAGCCTTTTAGAAAAATCGAGATGCTATTACCAACAACGCCGCCCGGGGCATCGGTTTCGGCGCGGGTGTCGGAATCGGACACCTCTGGCGCACCCATGTTGTAAGCTTTTCCAAGTTCAATAAAAATTTAAAACAACAAACATACCTTAAACTAAATTAAAACTTAGCTTACCTTAAAAACTAACCAAGTGCCTACCGAAACCTTTCCTAGGGAGACGACGAGCGACGCCGCGAAGCGGTCCAGGGATGCCAATACTTCTCCGAACTGGGCGAACGTATGATCCAGATGACCCAGGTGGGCTCCCTAAATTCAGGTTGCCTTCGCGAGGTAGTTCGCATTCTGTTTCAGGCTTTTGGTGCCAAATTTCTCTAATTTTTTTTGACGAGGGTTGGGGTGACAGCCGCAGCATAACCCCAGCCGCGCCTGGGGCCATTTGAGCTGATAGCGTACGTGCCCCCAAAGACCTCAAGCCGTGTTCCTTAAGGCCTTAAGCTAACCACAAGTCGACGGCACCGCAACTTCGCCCCCAGGGTTTGTGACCAACGCCGCAAATTGCGAAAAACGAGGGGCAAAATTGAAACACTGTACGGCGACTTGAAGCAGTTCAGGGTGAAATGCGCGCCGATGAATCGTTTCAAGTTTAAGCATATCGTGCTGGGGTGGGTGCCAATTCTAGCTAAAACGCAACCTGAATTTTTTTGGGATTCCCAGGCCGAACTGCTTCCGGTCGCCGTACGTAAAATAAAATGGCTTTAAATACGTAAACGTAGCCTCAGCCCATTAGCCACGAAAAACGTAAAACTATCATACAGATCGATTTTTGACAAACCCAACTTCTACTCGCTTTCACATCTTCAGTTTCAGCGTCGGCTGCCAAAATGTCTGATGCCGTTCGCGCAGATGCTGACATGGACGTGTCGCGGCTGCAGCGCTTATTTTCGTGTGCTCGCCATCTATGTCGCCTTCATCCTGGTAATTTGCTTCGGAATTAAGCTTATAAGCGTACAGGGTGTCTCAATAAAAACACCCCCGCTCCAACTCGATGCAGACGGCTCCCCGAATTTTGCGGCGATTACTTTTGCGGCGCGAACTTTGCGGCGCGAATTTGGCGGCCGAATTTTGCGGCGCAACAAAGATTAATGGAAATAATTTAAATTCAGAATTTTTTTGAGTTCAGATTCTGAATCAGAATCTGAATCAACAAGAATCAGATTTCAGATGAATCTCACAAATTCAGAATTAGAATCACCGCCAGTTTTGTTTTTGTAATGGTTGTATCTTCTATACAAATTAATTGGAACCTTACCCAATGCCAAGCCTAAGCTTGAAGGCGTCAGGCAAGGTGGGCCGTCGCTTCGGATGGGTTGCCGCTCCACTCTTTCGAAATCAGGGCGTCTGGGCGCTACGCGCTCCTCGGGCGCCCCGATTTCGAAACCCTGTACGAGCTCGCACCCATCCGAAGCGACTAGGCCCCGGGTGGCACGACGCCTTTTTCTAGTCGCAGAGCGGAAGAAGTAGCGATTACTTTCCCCCAAATCGAGTGACTCCTGTCGCAAAACAGTCTTCTAACGTTTCTATGACGAAATTCGGATGCGCTGCAAAAAATAACCAAAGACGTGCCTAACAAGCACCGCGCCGCAAAATTCGGCCGCAATGTTCGCGCCGCAAAAGTACGCGCCGCAAAGTTCGCGACACCATGCAGACATATCGGATCGGAATGGTAGTTACGCCATTCGAAAGCCCTTGAAACGGCGAATTTGCAAAAATCATCAAAACCCTGTTTAGAATTAACCCCACCATTTTACAACGCTTTTAAAAACATCAAGGAACGGTCTCTGCATAACGGCTACTTCCGGTCATTTTGTATAAGGCAACTGAAGCAAATTAGTTCGTATGTGCTGATGTACCCCGAAAAACCGGAAAATTTTACAAAATAGCTTGTAAAATAGCGTACCTAAATAAAAACAAAGATTTTTGCAAATTCGCCGTTTAAAGGGCTTTCAAATGATGTAACTAGCATTCCGGGGGAGCCAAATTTTTTTCCGCCCAAGTCTAAATTTTTTTTCTAAATAGCGCATGCGTTTCTAAATGGTTTTTAACTATTCCTGAACACAAAAACTACCCACATTTTAATTAAAAAATTTAATTTTAGGTAAAAAAATCCTATAGAACCTTTGAGGATTAGCGGGGGGGGGGGGGGAACTACTTCACTAAAACAATGTGAAAACACTTTGTATTTGATTACTAGGTCAACCGGGAAAACCAGAAAAAAAATTGGTTTCCCCACCCTGTATAGTACATACATAAATTTTACATTCTGATTTCAAGGTAACGGAAAAACCTGCGTCGTCAGGCGGCCAGCGCGAGGACAAAGAATAAGAACAAAAAGAGCCGTGGCCATTTCGAATGGTTGTTGGCAAATATCGAGACAAACAACTCTTAATAACTGCATTTATAATACGATCGTTGTTTTTATTCCTCTGTTCCCCTCAATTTCCCCTTGTGATCGGCGGATTCTGTGATATCCATGTGATATTCTGATTCTCATGAAGCTGTGAGGGTTTTATGCGGTTGATTTTTATTGTGATTTTTTCTATTTTTTTGCTACTTGCTTGCTGTTTTTCGAATAAATAACTAAAAGTTGTGGGCGGCTTTTGTATTTCAGCTTCTGACCTGCGCTGCATGATTCTGGTGGTCGGCAGGTAGCTCATGGGTTTCCATAATTTTTCGGTTTTCAGCTGACGGAGTCGGTCCGGCAAGCGGAATCTCCGACGCGGTTCTCATATCGGTTTGGCTTTTAGATCCTCGTCTCGATTAATTTACCTTTTTCGATTATCTCTAACGTTTTTGAAGTTGTAGTGCAGCCTTTGAAGCCTTGTTGTTTCTGAACGTCGTCGCCAGGTAGTAATGAACCTAGAAGACGTGCCGCGCAGCAACATCTCGGCCTGCTCTCCAGCTTCCTGAACCACAGAAATATAAGGCTGAAAGCTCGTCTTAGCGGGCGACAGTCATGTCCGTTTTTTACGATTTAAGTATCTCTCGGAAGCTCTTGACGGGCGCAGTACATCTGTGCTTGTCTATTTTCAAAGTTCCAGTTTTTTCACTCGATTTTCGGCAATTTTCCTGCCAAAACTACACGTCTTTTGCAAAAAAAAACCTAATTTAATCCGCTTAATGCGTTTCCTCAAATGGCTTTCAAAAAGCTGTCGTTGGGCTATCGCAAAAGACGTGAAAAGTCCTAAATTGTGATTTTGTCAGTCAGTCCAATATTACTAACTGCAAGAAAAATTCGGGGGAGACCGAACTTTTTTCGATTCAAGCCTAGATTTTTATATAAATAGTGGAAGTGTTTCTAAATTGTTTATAACTATTTCTAAGCATACAAACTTTACAAAATTTAATTTTAGGTCCAAAATTCAATTTTTTCGACCCAAAAATGACAAAATGTTTTGGACTTTTTCGAGCATTTTTCGAACTTTTAAAAAAGTTTTTGCTATTAAAATAGGCTTGAATTTTGCCAAAAACAATGTGCAAACACTTTATATTTGATTACTATGCCCACCAGGGCCAACAGAAAAAAGTGGGCCCCCCGGAATACTCGAGAACCAAAATATGTAGTTTTGGCAGGAAAAATTCCGAAACTTCGAAAACTTGGAAGAACATACCTACTCCGTTTGTCGAAGTCTTTCGATAAATACCAAAATCGTAAAATCGCACACGGCTGATCGGGGATTTTTTTGGGGGCACCCTGTAGTAGTAGCGCGAGTACACAATGCAATGACATACTTGTAATCGGTGGTCATCATCACTCCATCGTCGCCACACCGATCAGAAGCCGGAACGATCTGAAGCAGGGAACTACGGCACGGCCAATCAAACAGGCCAAAAACGGCAATGTGCCGGCAGGGGCAAAAGCGTCGATAGGAGCGGAACGTAGCGGGTGCCAAAAAGTTTAAACTCTTATAACTTTTTAAAACCGACTTAATAATGAAAACCCAATATCAATTATTGCAGAGTGGAATTTTACGGTTCGAATGATACCAAATACAGCCAGTTCGCCCTCCGAAATACCACTTTTCATCGAATCGTCAACAAAAACCGCCTTCGTTTCGATAGTTTTTGAATTCAGTTTTCTTAGTGCTTGGTATCATTGGGATCGCCTTTCCCATTCTACAAAATTGTAAATCGCTTTTTTTAAGATTCCATTTAGTTTTAAAGTTATATGGCTACGAAGTTTTGGCCCCATACATTTTTTTGACGAATGGAGCTTCGCGTTGCTTAGGTCCTTATTGCCGCAAATTCTGGGCGTGACGGAGGTCTTGCCCCACTTTCCACCATTTTAAACCATATACCATGGGATAATGGCCGTCCAAGGAATACCAAATACCCCCGATAAGGGGTGGCTTTCCAGTTAATTGTTGTTTGCTCGGCGCGGTCTATCGGGACTGTAAACATTTGCATACGGTCCGTGATTGTGGCAATGTTCAAGGGGAACCAAGTGATTTAGCAAGCAAGCAGAGATCCCTAGAGAATTTCTAACAAAAAGATGAATTTCAGGTGATGCTGCTCCGCGACCGCCTTCCATTAATGCTTCTAAACTTTCGCCACTTGTTAGCAGATGCCAAATCCTTCAACCAACCAAATGTGCGTCTTTTTGGCTTTCCATTTTCAGGTATTCCAATTTTTATTAATAATTTGGGCCATCAGGTGATCTTATCATTAATTGAAACTCCCGGCTTCAGTACGTAGCCTGGAGCCCTACGTACCGCAAAACAGGCCCGCCGGGCCGGCCGGCCTGCATTCTCGCAATTTCTTTACGATTTTGTTAAAACTTTCGTTTTTCAAAGCTTTTTTTTTGCTTTCACAGCTAAGGCTAGCTACCATACTTCCAGAATGTACGACCGTCTCAAACTCCTCGTCTTTGTGGTCTTTTTATGCACGGGCGTGTACCCTTACCCTTTGGTGAGTAAAAAATCTTTGACTGTTTAAGATAGTTCCTTTTAGCACAACGCCGACGATCCGGACAAAACCAACGTCGCACCGCCCTTGCCGCCCCAGCCGCACCATAATGATGTAATTAATTGTCTTTTATAGGCTTCTAGGGGACAGACCCATCTTATTATTTTCTGGTCATTATCTAACTATTATTCTACTATATAAATAGTGTCTGTCATTTTCATGCAACTTCCGTTATATTGTTCCGCACCTAGCCTAGATCCTCAAGGAAACGTTTTTTGTATAGGACAGAGACGTCATTAAGTTTAAATTGGCCCGGAATCTACTGCACACATCTAACTGTAAAGTGTTTTTACTCAGGCTGGCATTTTAGAATGGGACCAAGCCTATCTTGTGCAGAATTTTTCGCTGATTCCGAATCTGGGTTTCAAATTTGCTGCCGACCTTTATTTAAAAAGTTATTCGACATTTAGGCTAAAAAAATTGACTAAATCTGAATTTTTTGCGTTATTTTTTAAGTTGTCGTCACCTCCGACGTTAAAACTGGCTCGGTAATGGCTTTAGAGGTCAAAGCACGATTTTATGCAAAAAATCATGTGTTTTTGGGCAAAAAGCAAAAGAAATTGTGCAGGGCGCGGATCGAACCCCCGCCCGGTGCCTGGCAAGCGAACAGCTTATAGCTTATAAAGGAGCAGAGAACACATTTTTTTTATTTTTTTAGCATGCGTCGGACCGAATTATGCAAAATGTAAACTTTCATTGGTCCAAAACAGAGCCAGGGTTGAAAAGTCGCGAAGCGGCTTTTCAACCCTGGTTAAAATTAGGTTACCAAATTTGCGGTTATGCTTTTTATTAGGAGCAATTAGCATATATCAGACGTGGAGTTAGCTTATAAAGAGGGAGCTTTTCATTTTTGTCAGCGGTATCCGGGAAGAACTATGCAAATCGTAAAACGTCCAAGCCGCGAAGCGGTTTCCTGCCCCGGCCATTTGTTCAATTTGCAGGAAACTGTCGGGACGAGCAACAACGACCATGGTAACTTGATCGCCCCGTCGGATGCCGTTTCGCCACAGCAGCCCACCGTCAACAACGACGATAGTTCACCAGCGACCGACCGTGAAGGACAGCAACACGAGGTAAATTTATTTATCATTTTTTATTTGTCTTCTTAGAGGTCAAGCTGTTGCCACTTTGCTAAATGAATTTAGTATAGGTTCAGCCAAAATTTTGCCTGTCTGACTTTCCTGCTCGCGGGGAACCAATCATTTTAGTGGGGGAGATAGGTCAAATTTTTATTTATTTATTTAGCCTAGCGACAAAATTATTGGTGTTTTACTGCCTGTTAGAATTTTTGTTTATTAGGACTGCTCGAAAACCTTTTATAAAATCTTAAAAACCCGCTCTTTGTCTATTTTTTCGGGTTTTCGACAAAAATACAATCCTTCGTTGTCGATAGGTAAAAAACAGGAAGGTTTGAACAGCTAATTTTCATTCAACTTTTCAGGCCGCCGAGACCACTATTCGAACCCCAGGGGGCAGAAACCAAGATCGTGCGCGGAACGACGGTGCAGCAAATGGCACCAAACCCGAATTGAATGATGTGTTATTCCGGTGTGTCTGCGTTCTTGCAGTCGTCGCTGTCTACCTAATGCTTCGTGGCGTTAATTGGAGGGATGAGTGCTGTAGCCAAGGTTTTCCTCTCTTTCGAAATGATCCTCCAATCCGCGCAGGCCGCCAACCACTAGATTCCGAAACTGAGCTTGAATAAAGCCTCCGTCCCTAAACCTCGTTAAATCCTTCTGAATGTGATAATAATGTGATCCCCCATCACCTCCATTCCCGCCTTAGCATGCATCGCAGTCAAATCCGTCCACAATCATTCAGCCTCAGTCACCATTTGCCACTTCACTGCCCAAAAGTATGCAATATACAAGACTATCGGCTATGCAATACCATCATAGCGCTTACCACGACCTTCCCGCTGCAACCGGCTGGATTTCCGGCTAGCCCTCCGTTCCCTTCCACCGCCCCCCCCGCGCTCCACCTGGCTCACTATAACCGTAGAGTTAATCCAAGTTGCAAACCCCCCTTGATGCCTTAAATTTCGCACCTCCCACCCCCTTCGCCCCCCGAATCTCGACGCCGCCGGTGTACAGTGTATCTTTGTGCGAGTCTTTCCATTTCTTCACCGGTGCCATCGTCCATTTATTCATTTTTTTCAGGTTGTTAATAAATTTTCTGCCTGGAAATACTCAATAAAATGCACTATTTAACAGAAAACTTTTTACTTTGCTTTGATTTACAAGGCATTTGCGGTGTGTTGGCTCACATGGCGATAGCGGCATTAGCTCGAAAGACGTCGCTGCTCGCAAGCGGTCATTTAGTGACTTTGCAAAGTTTTTGACTCTACCTGGTAGGGCTTGCCCGCTGCATTGCTCATTTTTCGGCGGAATGGCAACTTCTGGCAGCCGGCGGAAACCGGATCAACAGGGCGGCGATCTGAAATCATCGATCCTTCCAGCACGACTTCAGTCAGTGTGGTCGTGACTTTAGTATTTTGCAATCCAATCTTAATTCTCAACAAAGACCTTTTTAGTTTTTCTTCCACGTTTTTATATTATTTTGATGTTTGTAGCCCAAGCCACAACGGTGATTTGAAACGCCTCGGTGTCTCGCAATGAGCCCTGAAGACGGTCTTTTTATCAGTACGAATTCCGACGCTATTTCCCGGCCATAATGCCCAGCGATTGCATGGGGGACTTCTAGCTTTTCTCAATAAAATACCTGAAATTCTACCAAAACGAACAATTTCAGGGATGAAAATTCGTCTTCGGCCGCTGATCCTCATCAGCATCCTCTACATCCAGCTCACCCGGAGCCCTACGGTCGGTGAAAAAGCGTTGCTGAAAAAGAAAAAATTCTCTGAATTAGACAAACTAACTCGGGCCTGATGGTTACACCCATCCAAAGCCTTTGAAACGGCAAGTTTGCCAGAAGGGATGTTTTATGGAAGTACGCTCGCGAAAAAGCAAAAGACGTTTGCACCGGGCGGGGTCGAACCCGCACCGGGAGAATGCCAGCCCAGCGCGCTATCCACGATAACACGCTCTAGCCGTTCCTTATAATCGTTAAGTGCGTTGTAAAGTGGCGCGTGTAAATCAAAACATGATTTTGACAATTATTGCAAACCCGCCGTTTTAAGGGCTTTCCAATCGAGGGACTATCATTCCAATCCGATACTTCTGCGCCAAGTTCGAGGGGGTGTTTTTTATTGGGATACCTTGTATTAAAATTATCAACAGCTTTAGCCAGGTATGACGTGGTTATATTGACATTGTCAGCTTATTCTTATTCCGCCTGTTTTTTAACATTTTATAAAATTCGCTGAAAAACAACTATTTTTCTGTTGCAGCGGGCTGTCGAACACGGCGACGACGAGGCTGTGCCAGACGAGGCTTTCGGTGCTCCGCCAGACAGGATTTCACCAGAACGCACACTTCCAAAGGACGGTCTGCGTTCAAGCACGGCCGACGAGGAATCTCCTGAAGATTCACCGGTATGAATTTGGTTTGTGGAGGCGTGGGTTTCTGTGACAATGAGAGAGAGAGCCCAGAGAGAGAGAGAGAGAGAAAGAGAGAGAGAGAGAGAGGGAGGGAGGGGGAGCGCGAGAGAGAAAGAGATAGCACGAAGGATTGATAAAGAGCGATAGAGAATTTTTAGAAAACTTAGACCTTCATTTTCAGCCAGTCAACGCTGCTACAGAACCTCAGAAGCCAGTCATCGCCCCGCCAGATGTTGTCCACCCCGGCGGTGATGACTCCAAGGAGTCGCGGAGGACCGCTCGGTCCACACCGGACCCAGAGAGGCCAGAAGCCGTCGTCGCAACCGACGAGCCGTTCGAGCTCTGGGAGTGGCTGCGCGGACTTTGGGAAGCTTTGCTTTCGTGCCTATCATCAAGCCCCGACGTGATGCCAACGGAGGCACCACCTGAGGATCCATCATCTTTTACCCGAATCCTGAACACCATCAAGACGTCGGCCCCGTTCTGGCAGTGCATTTCTGCCGTGCTCTTCTGCCTGTCGCTGTTTCTGTTCTACAAAAACGATACAACCAACCGAGAGCTGCGTGCCATCAAGGCTGAAGGCGCGTCGGCCATTGAACTTCGTCGTGTCCGGGTCGGGTCTAACGTACCGGATCCTGATGAGGGCCTGCCGTTGACCAATGAATCTTCGACGTAATTCGATCGTAAAAACCGGGTTATATTTATGTCTTGCTTTGGCCAAGCTAGTCTTGCGCGATCTCGAGTTCTTTTTTTCGTAAGATTGCTCCCCCCGCCCCGCCCGAACCTCGCTGGAATCCGGTGTTTTCTTTGTGCGTGCCTTTCCTTTCCATTTTTCTTCCGGTATTGTTACTCTCGCTCAGCATCTATTTATTCACTTCATTTTTTTTAATAAATTGTCGCAACGAGAAACAGCGAGGAGGATGCATGAATAGCAATAATATACGATACGTGATAAGACCTCATCAGGAGAACGACCGTAACATGAAAGACATCGATGCGTCTGCAAATGGTCATTTAGTGCTTTTGCAAAGTTTTTGACGCACCATAATAGGATCGACCACTGCTTCGCTCGTTTTCGGAGGAGTCTCAACTTCCTGAAGCTGGTGAGCAAAGGATGGGCTCCGGATTAACAGAGCGGGGATCTGAAATCATCGACAATTTTTTGGTTGGTTTAGGTAGTGCTGAGAGAGGGAGGAGAGGAGAGTGAAAGCGCGCGCAAGGGCGAGAGAGAAGGAGAGAGATAGGAAGAGATAGAAAGAGAAAGGGAACAAGAAAGAAAGAAAGAAAGAAAGAAAGAAAGAAAGAAAGAGAGAGAGAGAGAGAGAGAGAGAGAGAGAGAGAGAGCGAGCGAGAGAGAGCGAGCGAGGTAGGGGTAAGCGGGAGAGAGGCAGATATCAGTATTACTTGCTTTCTTCTTCTCTTTTCGATTTAGCTCTCTCTCTCACTGCCTCCTTCTATTTTTCTCGCTCATTCTCTACCCCCTCTGACTCGACCTCAACTCTGAATCACTCTCCCTGTAGTCCAGGCAGAGGGCCCAGACAAAAAGAGGCCCCGGGAGAGCGCGAGTGATCAGCGGTGATCGAGGCCCTGGAAAGGCCAGGCTTGCGCAAGCTTGATCAATTCAATCAATTCGGCTCCCCCGCCCCCGAGGCCAAGAAAGGCTGCGGATTGCCTCATCTTCCGGTGGCCCATGGTGTTGCCTACTCCACGCTCAATAATTTGACACGCCGCTGCGTATTACAATACTCCACCAAAAAAATTGTCCCTTTCCCGGGCAATCGAAAAATTACAGGCCGCACAATAATATAAGGCCTAATCTAATCTAATCTAATCTAATTAGCTAGGGAATACGGCAGAAAAAATTCAGGGCCAGCTGCGGTTCGGAGCTAAGTTTTGAGTTGCTTTAGATAGAAAAATAGAAAAATTAGATTCTAGGAAAAGGATCCCTCACCAAATTCGAAGGGGGTTAAATCCTGCTAGTTCTGCTTTAAAGGGACCCACAAGGCAAGCGCAGAAGCCCAGAGGAGGGGGAGAACCTAGGGCGCTAGAATTGATATCAAGAAATGGAATAAAAAAAGACGTTGAAAATTTTTTGCGTGCAAACATTTTGGGAAGAGTTAGACTATTTTTGGCAAGACTAACAGTATACCTTCCGGGTTTAGGGCAGCGCCATGCCATTTTGTCGAAGCTCTGTAGCATTAAGCATAAGGAGCAATCGCCGCCTAAAAAGTATCCTGTAGAGGGCATTCAAAATATTAACCTACCTAGAAGCCATTCGGTTAAATTCAGATGTTCCATGGGCGCAGCAAATTGTTATCTGTCTAAAAATTCTGATTTGTTGTCCTTCCTTTTGTCTTGTTTTTCTCCAAGATCATCGTTTTTTCCTTAATGAACTACCGTTTTCAGGCAATGACGTTCAAGCTCGCGAGGGCTGCCCTCCGAGGTATCGCCCGCATCTCCGGATTCGTGTGGGGCTGTGATGGCCCGGGATGGGTGAGTTTTGCAGCTGCACCTAAAATTAGGGTCTGTATTTGCCTTCAAAAAATCATCAACAGAAAGTGAATCTAAATATTTTGAAATCTACTAAATTTTAGACGACTTTCAGATCCCGACCCCTCGCCGCCCCCTGATTGTGACGGCTGCGTCGCTGGCCGGCTTCTTCGCGGCGAATACCTATGTAAGTACTAAAGTTCGCCAACTTTAAAAAAAATTTTTCCGCCTTTTCCGCCTTTTAAAAGCAGCCTAACTACCAATTCAGGTCACCGATCGATGTCAACCACTATCCAAAGTCACGGGCAACTTCACGATCGGCTGGAACCTCCAATTTCCGGCCGAGAGCGAGGCTGGGCTCGCCGACGATGGCGAACAGTGCGGCGACTCGTCGGTTGTTGAAGATGTGCTCGTCGATGGCGTCCGCCGTTGCTTTCGTAAAGGTCCCCGCAAGGTTTAGCCAGATTTGCTAGGCCACGATCCCCTTCCAAAAAAACCAAAAATGTGATTCGCAAATTTGGCTTCCCCCGTTCTGGCAGCCCGAGTATCCCTGTATTCTACGGTGATTGTCTCTCTATACAAATCAAAGCTCTATATATGCAATGGAAATTCGAAACATCGCATACTCGCTATCTCTCGCCCTCGCTCCGGATCCTCGATTTGAATTGCCCCCCACCCCCCTCATCTACCGTTAACCCGTTGCAGTGATTTTCATAACAAAATACGGTGCTCATATTACGGTAGTAATTCGCCTTTAAACTGAATTTCATATATACCAGACTTTTCCCATGCAATTTTATCTACCTAGTCCCCTCCCTTGTAGTGATTGTCTTTGTTCGCATTTGTAGACCAGTGGCGAATAAAGTGAGCCCCCAATGTCATTTGTAAGACGGCACCTACTGCCAGAAAATACACCGAATCATACACACTACAGATCATCAAGGCGGATAAAAACCGGACTCAAATAATTGCAAGCTGGAATTTTCTAATAGATTCTAGCAACGACTTCTTCAATAGGCAGCCATAGCCTTAAAGCCGTTTAGAAGCCCGTACTAAAAATGCCTTTGGGCCTCCTCGTATTCCTTAAATTATCTACTCACCCTGCAGCGCTCCGTTTAACGTATCCGGATAGTCCAGGATACAATGTGGTGACAGGAGAGAATATGGCGAATCATCCGGCAGATCCAGAATCCACGGCCTGAATAAGAACAATTTTCATACAATTTTATCACTCTTCCGCTGGCTCTATCCAATTAAATCCGGTCTTGGTACGTTAAAAATGGCTCTAACGCCTAGCTCTACTGCTCAGGAAGTTATTAATGCTTTCCGATATGTTTTTGCTCCTTGCTCCTCAATTTTTCGTTTTTCTTTAGTTTCCCGTGTTTGATCGTGCCCAACCTCAGTGGCCCAACGTCTCCCATCGATTTCCGTATCCAGAAGGCTTGTACAAGTCAATGAGTCAGCCGTCAGATGTGCATCGTGCTCCCCGTGGCCCTGGACACCTTCACCTCCTTTCGATCAACCTCCCCGACTATCGATCCCATCGGTAATCTGCGATTAATGCTGTAAATTACAAATGGGTGATGGCTTTAGCATCAAAAGCATTCATCCGACTTCCGTTTTTTTGTCTTATATGCGTTATCAAAGCATTTTGAAAAGCGGCTCTTTAAGCCGGAAATCGCCAAATATTTTTAAACACATTAATTTAAATCGTAAAAATAACGATTTCTTCAAAATCTTTGGCGATCCCTATGCGCTTTCCGAAGTTCTTATGCTCCACACGATTTTACGAATTGACGAGCTTTTTCGAGACTCCACGCTCCATTCTAGGAATTCATCGGTTATTTTTCCTAGCATCTCTTAGCATGCTTGTCCGAAGCTTTCTACAACGTAATATTCTGCGCCGTCGTAAAATGCTCTTTTTAGCAAATGCCAATCTCCGTCAAGGCGCTCACCGCCTTCAAAGGCGGAATCGTTGTCGGTACGCTTGCGGCCCTAGTCGAGCAGGGCTTGGTAAGCTTTTACACAGCATTAGAAATCGATAATTAAAAACTTCGGCTAATATCACGATGGTTAATATTGATACCTAGAGGCATAGCTTGGGGTGGAGGTAGCTTACCGTTCGAATTTTCATCTTCGGTGGACGAGATTCAGAAAATCTAGCTTCTCGAATATTTTTCAGCATCATCTCTCCATCCTTTCATACCTAGGACGCGGGGTGTAAGGTGGAGCTTAGTGTACCCACCAACAGGCATTCATCTGTTCGGAGAGGCATAAGCGAAAACTACCAAATCCTCGTAATCCAGCCAGCACATCTTAAAATTGCCACAATAGGGACCATAAAAAGCCCTGAGCCGATAAAGAGGTTATAAAACGAGCGTTTAATGCATTAATCTTTACGAAGATCAATCATTTTAGGCCCTACGCAAAAGGACCCACTGGAAGAGCGACGGGAAGGGCACTCCCGACACTATGAGGTATCACATTAATGTCGAGCTGGTCGCTAAGAATAAGGAAGCTAGTGAGCAGAAGCGTTAGGATGAAGCTCAGCCATCTACCTAATATTATTTTATTATTATCATTTCATTAATTTAAGGCGCAATAAATGTTTATTTAGGGAATATTTCGAAAATACAAACCTATCATGAATTTGAATACATTTTGAACCTTGATTACACATGAATAAAAAAACAGTTGAAAGCTGGGTCGCTAATAGGGACATATAAAAATTATTTCTGAAATATATTAGCGGATCGATGGCTGGAATCAGCTCGGGTACGACTATGAAAGCTAGCCGGGAACTTGCCGGGCCGATTTCGTTGCGTCAGGTGCCCTACCAACAGTTGGCCAGGGGCCGAGCGCCGATGGCTTAATTGGCATCACACCAGGATCGGCCCGTGGCATGGTCAGCGTCTTCCTGGGCTCCCGAATTAGACCCGAAAGTATCAGTTCCGTCTACCAGAATCTGAAAAAGATATAAGCAATCGTTGCTAGGTCAACTTGCCCGTGTTTGCCTTGGTTGAGTCGTAATCGGGTCGTACCCCAGGGAACATTTTACTCGACAGACGGCTGGCGCCCGGTCGGTTGTAGTATCTGGCTGGTTTTAGAGATCTAAACGATGAATTAAGGACAAAAAGGCGATTACCAGCTTTAAAACTGCCCGAAGATAGTGTTATCCGTGTTTAGGTTTGGATCTCGATAGAAGATCACAGACTAATGGTCGTTACTGATGTCATGGTACCGATCACCTTTAAGGTCATGCAGCGCGCGGGCTTTCCTGTCTAGAAACTGATTCCTGTTATCCCCTCAAGAAACCTAGGGGCAACGACAATGTTCTGTAAACCGAGATGAACGTGAACTTTCAAAACACGAACCCATCTCGAGCACGACGTCTTCAGAAGCCACCTGTCTCAATTAAGTATCAATTCAGTCTACCAGAATCTGAAAACAAGCAATATTCGCTAGGTCAACTTACCCTTGACTGACTTCATTGAGTAGTAATTGTGGCGTCATGGCGACACCACTCTCGGTCGTAGTTTGAGGTCCCCTTTCGGGCCTTCAGTAGCTTATCCTTTACCAGTGGAAATGACGCTTCGCGGCCCTTTTCCACTGGCCCCCGTCTAGGAACCATATAATCCCCTTCCGTTTTTCAAGCCTGCGGCGCACGAGCCTGACTCTAGGAACCATTCTCTGCCTGCGGCGCTAGCTACTGGTTTTTCTTCAGCACTTGTCCTGCGGCGCTAGAACCCGGGCCAAGGACCTATTCTTTATCCTGCGGCGCTAGAGCGAGGGCCTAGCCTAAATTTCGGATACCGAGAGCCTCGAAATATGTTTTTTTTGTTGAACTATCAAAAAGCAAAAAGGCAAATTTGCTGAGGATCCGAAATCTCGACTATGTGCGTGCTAGACCGGGCGTCAAGCCACTATACCAAAGGGGGCATGGGGACGGGATGCGGATAGGCCTTTTCGGTCCTGGGGGACGGTCCAACCCGGGCGGGAAGACTTCTAGTAATTTCGCAAAATCGCTTTTTTTAGTTTGAATGCGCCGAAAATTTGTAAAGATAATGAGATGCGCGTGATCCCCACTATCGAATACATAAGTGGTCCAAATTTCAGCCCGAAATTCCATCAGGCCTTCGAGTTATGGCCCGGACACCACGGCTCGTAGCCCATTTTGTTAAGGATTTTCACCATTTTGCTTGTAAAATTGTTAGATGAAGGAATTTCGAAAAACAAAAAAAATGCGTGTCTGGCAAATGCGTTTCTCCACCTCCATGCCAAAAATCAGCGCGAAATTCGGCCTGACGGCCGAGAAATCGTCATTACAGAAAACAAACATACTTTTCTCGCTTATAGGATAGGATCTATGGCTCCGCCCCTTTCGGCCGCCCTCCGATAGGGAAGCCTGGGCAGAGGGACGGATGGATCTCCTCTAGACCATCTAGTAGGCATTCTACAGTAGGACAATCGTCGTAGCTTATATATTAAGGGGAAACCTGGTTAGACTAAATTATGTGGGGACTGATAATATTGGGAAGCCGCGTCTATTAATGGTGCCTAATAAATGAGTAGTTCACTAATATATCTAGCGCGTTTATAAGATTAATACATATAATTCCACTACACGAACAGTTGGGTACAATCTCCTTGAATACAGAGGAGATTCAGTTCTGCTCTCCCCAAGGGGCGACAGTAATGGCGCCGTACCCTACGGACATATTTTACTAGACCGACGGCTTGCAACCGGCTGGTTGTAGTATGCTGACTGGTTGAAGAGGCCTAGAACAATAAAACTAACGATAAAAAGGCTATTAGCAGCTTGAAAACGCTCGGAAGCCGGTGTTCTCCATGTTTAGGTTGGAACAACGTAGCAGCTCACACACTAATGGCGGTTTCTAATGCCACGGCACTGATCACCTTCAAGGTAATTTTTGTATAGGTCTACAAGGCTGGAATTAACGACAAAAATGCCATTTTTCTTGTCATTTTATGTCATTTTAATTTTCTGCCTAGAAGCTGTTTATTGTTGATGAAACATGAAACCAAGGGGCAACGACAATGCTCTGCAAAACGAGACGAACATGGAATTTCAAACACGAACCCACCTGGAGCACGACGTCTAAGAAGCCATCTCCTCACAATTAAGTACCGATTCCGTCTACCGGAATCTGAAAAAAGATATAAACAATCGTCGCTAGGTCACCGTACCCGTGTCTGCCCCGGGTGAGTGGTAATGGGGCCGTACCCCAGGGTACATTTTCTCGACAGCCGGCTGGCACCCGGCTGATTGTAGTTTGGCTGGTTTTAGATATCTAAACGATGAATTAAGGACAAAAAGGCGACTACCAGCTTTAAAACTGCCCGAAGCTAGTGTTATCCGTGTTTAGGTTGGATCTCGATAGAAGATCACACACTAATGGACGAGTTTGATAGCGAGGTCCGACAATCCAGCTGGTTGTAAAAGCTAGAATCAAAAAAAATTAGCAAAACATGTTATTACCAGCTTGAAAACATCCGGAAGCTGGTGTTCCCATTTTTAGGTAGTATCGCCATAGAGAGCGACACTAATGGTAGATTCTGATGTCAAGGCCCTGCTCGTCTTCCCACCAGCTGGTTCCTTGTAAACGTCTGGAAGAATGGCTGGTTAATAAAAAGGTTTTTGCCAGCATAGTAACATCTAGAAGCTAGTCTTCATGATGCTAGGTTTTGGATACCCATAGGACAACACACACTAATGGTCGCTTGTGATGTCGATGTGATGCTCACCTTTCACACAGCGGGATAGTTGTAGTGGTCTGGAACGATAGCTGGCTAATAAATAGTTTATAATCACCTTGAAAACGCCCGGAGGTTGGTGTTTTGCATGTTCAGGTCTGAATCGACAGAGAGGGTCATGCACTAATGGCCGATTTTGATGTCGATGCGCTGATCATCTTAGCGACAGCTAGCTGGCTCGACTGGAACGTTGAATAGATCAGAAAAAGGTTATCACCAACTTGGCAAAATCAAGCTTTCGGTATTGTTCAGGTAGTGGTCGGAGTCACTGGCAAGACAATGCACTAATGATAGCTTCTGGTCAGAAACGGCCCTTTTGACGCTGCGGGTGTGCAACGCGCTTCCTGGAGAAGCCCGCTGTTCGTCGGCCGTCAGCAGCTGATGATGTGGTTTCCTAAATGAAATCTTATTCTGTTTTTCTCTGTTATTTTGTCCACCATTCCGACAAGGTCGACGTTGCCGCCTGCTGACCTCTTGATACCAGAATATGGTCGGCTGATAACAGGGTCGACCTTCGCGCAGACAAGGTTTCTCTTAGAAGAGGCTCAAGACAAAATTCTTGAGGCTTGTTGGAGGACCTGAAATTAGAGAGACGATAAAAAGGCTAGTAGCAGCAAATATACATTAATGCGCATTAGAATCGTCTGCGGCGGCGACGCAAAAATTTTTGAGCTAGGCCCATGCTCGGGAATTCGACATTAAAATTGGTTTTTCCAAAAAACCTGAGTTCAAAACTAACAAACAAGCCATTGGAGTAGCGTACAAGAACGAACTAGAAATCGACTCAAAACTTTGCCATTGTCACCACGATTGCCGGATAATCGTCAAGGAAAAACGGGGTACACAGTTTCCCCCAGATAATGTCAACCTTCTTACCGGATGAAGCTATCAGAGGCGTATCTACGTCGTTTTTAACGGGATAGGCGGTACCTAAAGCCATTGTTAAGGTATCTAACAAGGGAAGGGCAAGTACACGAACTGGAAATTTGGAAAACGCTCGCGGCTACCCCCAGGTTATCGGCTGCGGGGAACACGATGGTGTTGTCAGAATTTTCCACCGAGCCCTGTAGAGCGAGATACGGTACTTCCGGAAAAAGGGTCATTTGCATACGAGAATTTAACATACTACTTGCGTTTATTAGAGACTTCTACGTCTCTGCCATCAGCTGCGAGTTAGTCATTTGCTAACTGAACGGTTTTTTGAAATACCTACCGGGGTTCGAATCCACTCAGTACTTTTAATTTTTGCTTTTTGGAGGGGGCGACCCAGGTCAATTTGGGCCGTCATAGATTGTAGTTTTTTGGTTCGAATTCGGATTTGAAAGAGAAAGTTTGCTTCAAGAACCATGAAAACACAGTAAAAAAGCCTGCAAAAATATGCAAATGACCTCATTTCCGGAAGTACCGTATCTCGCTCTACAGGGCTCGGTGGAAAATTCTGTCAACACGATCGTGTTCCCCGTAGCCGATAACCCGGGGGTAGCCGCGAGCGTTTTTCGAATTTCCAGTTTGTGTACTTGCCCTTCCCTTGTTAGATACCTTAACAATGACTTTAGGTACCGCCTGTCCCGTATACTAGATACGCCTCTGATAGCTTCATCCGGTAAGAAGGTTGACATTATCTGGGGGAAACTGTGTACCCCGTTTTTCCTTGACGATCATCCGGCAATCGTGGTGACAATGGTAAAGTTTTGAGTCGATTTTTCGTAGAATCGTAGATTCGTAGAATCTGAAGGGTAGCCTGAAGCCCGGCTGGTTAGAGTAACGAAGCGACTGTAAGAACGAAGTAGAACGAAGCTAGCCGCACAAGCTAGCGCCGCAGGCTAAGGAATAAAGCCAACCATCGAAGCCAGCGCCGCAGGCTTAAAGAAGGAGGTAACCGCTCAAACTTGCGCCGCAGGCTTTCTCTCGAAGCAAACCGCTCAAGCTGGCGCCGCAGGCCAAAAAGGAAGCAAATCCCTCAAGCTTGAGCCGCAGGGTGAGGTAGCGACTTAGCCGATGAAACAGACGCCGCAGGCCTAATAACGAGACTAGCATTTCAAGCTTGCGCCGCATGCTAATACAAAGAGGTTTGCATGGAAGATGGGTTTTTGCTTTCTTCAAGGTACTTTATGTGGAAGGGCGCTCGATTAATAGGGCCTGGACGGGATCCAGAGGGGGAAGGTCGCGAAGCGGCTCCTCCCCCGCTGGTCTTCAAAATACATAATCACGCAAACCAAAAATAAATACCAGAATTATGGATTTTCGAGTAGGATAAATGCCACTCGCATGAAAAGAAATCTTTATTATTGCTCGCATCACTAGCATCAAAGGAAATTTACATGCCGAAGGAACAAAAAAACGCATAGCAAAATTACGATGGCTTTGACCTTCACAACGATTTGAAAAGACTTGCTGGTAGTTGTACTTGAACCTAAAAATCAGTGTAATAAAATATGATGGCTTACTTTTTATTTTTAATCCTATCCAAAATTATCCGCTTCCAGAAAAAAGGGATCCATCGACATCCGCACGCTGCTATCAAGGGACTTTGACACATTGAAGTGGTCAAGGAGAAGCCATGCCAAAAGGACCTCCTTGGGAAGATTGTCATAGTTGGCGGTGTTGGTCCTAAATCTGCCCTTAGTTAGTGTGAGCGGATGAACCTACCGCCTTGCTTCCAGGGCTTAGAAAGTAGTCTCAATGGGCTTCCAAAATTCTCAAGGTTGAAACGGCCCTGAACGATGGAATAAATAGTATAAATATTGATAACGCTAACCATTCCGAGGTTTCCGCGGCTACGAATATCCAGGGCGTTGAGCTGAATCGATCTTCGCCAACGATTCCTGTAACGGATGTTTTTAGCCCGAATTTCCTATCCTATAAGCGAGAAAAGTATGTCTGTTTTCTGTGCAGCCGATTTCTCGGCCGTCAGGCCGAATTTTGCGCTGATTTTTGGCATGGAGGTGGAGAAACACATCCTCTTTATAGGCATTTTTTTGTTTTTCGAAATTCCCTCATTTAAGGATTTTATAAGCAAAATAGTGGAAAACCCTTAACATTTTGGCCAAAAAAAGGTTTGTTCAGAGGATATCTCGCGATCCAAAAGGAATTAGGCGCTGATTGTTGGAGGGCAGATTGAAAATCGAATTCTCCCGATATATAATTTTGCGTTTTTTCAGACTTTGTAAAATAAAATTTTTATGTGCGTTTTTCTAAAAAGTCCTTAACAAAGTGGGCTGCGCGCCGTGGTGTTTAGTCCATAACTCGATGCCCATTTGGAATTTCGGGCTGGAATTTGGACAAATTATGTATTCGATAGTGGGGATCACGCGCATCTGATTATCGTTAGAAATTTTTAGCAGATTCAGACTCAAAGATCGAGTTTTGTAAAGTGACCAGGAGGCCACCCGCCCGGGATCATTGGGGCGCCCTTTTCTTTGCCACCCCTCCTCCCGCGGCCTTCCCCAGAAAGAAGAGGCCTTTCAGGCCACCCGTTCCCATCGTCTCTGTGGTGTAGTGGGTTGGCGCCCGGTCTACCACACGTATGGTCAGGAGTTCGGGTCCTGGGAGAATCCAACCTTTTGCTTTTTGGTAGTTTAGCAACAAAACGTATTTCTAGGCTCCCGATGTGCGAGGTTTAGGCCTGACCGTCGCTCTAGCGCCGCAGGCCGAAGAAAAGGGGCTTGAACCAGGCTTTTGCGCCGCAGGCCAACGATGGGTCCTTGGCCCAGGCTCTCGCGCCGCAGGCCAACGATGGGTCCTTGGCCCAGGCTCTCGCGCCGCAGGCCAACGATGGGTCGTTGGCCCAGGCTCTCGCGCCGCAGGCCAAGCTTGGGGAGAAAACCAGTAACTAGCGCCTCAGACCCAATTATCCTAGCGCAACGCTGTCTCTGACGCCCCAGTCCAAAGAATGGATCCTTCACTCAGGTACCTGCACCGCAGACCCAAAAAAAGAAGGTATTCAAATTCATGGTTTCTGGACGGGGTCCAGTGGAAAAGGGCCGCGAAGCGGTCTTTTTCCACTGGTTTGTTCATAAGCAATTTTTGAGCTCTGGACTCGCTTACCGTATTGATAGACGGGGCACCCATGCATGCCATTCATTTGCCCGAGGTCACTTGCTTACCACTTCTGCTAGCCAGGGGCGTGGCTGGCCGAACTAAAATGGATATCGTGCGAATAAACTAAGTAGTAGTTTCTGCTGTTAGTAAAGAACCGTCTAGTTTTCACAAACGATCGGGACCATTGCCTTTCTGAGAAACTTTAGGCTTCTCCCTAATGCCAGGAGATTTTGGCGAGGACCTACAGACTTGGCAGCTCCACAATCCAAGTTCCATATAGGCCGCTGTGGATCAGCTAAATCGTCGTGAACAACGCATCCGTCGTTCTTTCAGCTTCTATAAAATCTTTGCGATCATTCGGTAGCTCAGCCAGCGTTTTAAAGGTTTAGGCTCCGAGCACGCGCGGGCGCTCGCACCGCGTTTTCTGCGCCTCCTTACCCGGGGGTTCTCTAATCGTACACGCCACCTAATATCGTTACAATCGGGTAGTAGACAACGAATTCTACATAGTTTCTTTAGGAGGGGTATATCCGACGGGCGAGTTTTTGGCTATGTCGGGGTGGACATGTTCGCGCAGGTGGATTGGTAGCGGGGGATGGGCCACGGCCACGCCCCCACGCGACAACCAATCGACATCCACCCGCCTTAGCAAGAACCCTCTACAGCACAGAAATACAGGATAGATTAATTTGATTTGATATTTTTATATATGGAAGACGAACCAGAACACACGCTGTAATTGGTAGCGTGCCGTCGGTCGATAGGCGGGCTCGTTCGAGCGTCGGCCGGTCGCGGCGCGGTGAAATAAAATTTGCTGAAAACAGAAGTTTTTAGAAACTGAATCGTCGCGGCGTGCAACAACTTTATTCATAATCCTTACGAGTCAGCGGGTGTCTGAAGCTATTCTCTATTACTACTGCTCGCTCTCTCGTCTGCAGACCCCTCTCTCCTCACGCACCTGAACAGTCCAATCAACTCCGAGATAGCCGGGGAAGGGGGAAGGCGCAGACACAAAAATGGCGGAGGCTTCCAGACCCCGGCGTCGTAACCCTTTTTCGTTATTTTAAACTACTGATTTACTAACGTTATACCGAAAATTGATTATGCAGAAAACCATTACGTAGAAACCCATTATATCGAAATTTCAATACACAGAAATCCGTTACGCAGAAAACCATTATACAGAAAAACCAGTACGCAGAAATACATTACCTAGAAAATTCATTACGCAGACGACCATTACACCTAAACTTCCGTACAAGGAAAAATTCTATGCTGGAAATTTCCGAGTTGATGACAACGCATCATAAGGCAAAAAATTTGGTGGATAAAATCCGGGAAAGTTAGCAAACAGGGCTCGGAGAAAGTTTTCAAAATTTATTTCAATAAGTCTAGAGAGGAGGGTGAGTATCGGGAATCTCGCACAATTTTCGAACCGATAAGACTATCTGACTGGGTAAAGTCCGCAGGTCAATGATGGAAACAACCTCAACGACCGCGGGATACAACTTTTTTTTGTATATAGAATCTTATGGGAGTGGAACGGTTGGGGTAACATATTTCTGCGAAATATTTTTTCTATATAATGAATTTCTGCGTAATAGTTTTTCTGCGTAGTGATTTTCTGCGTAATGGGTTTTCGGTATAATGAAATTTCGGTCTAATGGATTTCGGCTTAATGGATTTCTGCGTAATGGATTTTCTGTGTAATGGTTTTCTGCGTAATGGGTTTTCGGTATAACGGTTTTCTGTCTAATGGATTTCTGCGTACCGAAATTTCTGCGTAATGTTAATTGCCCTTCATTTTAAACTACTAATCACTAAAAACCTTTAAAACGGCTTTCATTCTTTCAACACTGAAAAAACGGGTGAGCTTTCGATCACAAATTCAGGCCAAAAAGGTTTTTTCCGCCATCTCTATCATCGATTCCGTAAATCGGCCCATACTCAATCTTTTTGCACCATTTTAGGGAAAGTTAGTTCCCCTGTATTAGCTTCTGAGGCATAATTAAGGGAACAAATGTGCCGCCATTTGTGGAAAATCCGTTTGTAGAAACTCACAACACTTAACTTGCTCTACTTGGTGGACTGTTCTGCGTTGCAACGTGCTGAATTCCTGAAAGAAAATTTATCCACTCAATTTTGTTTTCTAATCCGGTTTCTTTCGGCGGTAGTTTGTCATGTCATTACGTTTCAATGGGCAGGAAGTGGCTCATTGTCAATTGGATCATTTAAAGAATTTAATTAAATTTAATTTGAATTTTGGTCTTCCTTTATCGCCCTTTTCCATTATTGTTTTGAGCTTCTATTGAAAATCATGCTGCATTTTTCAGATAATCCCGCAATCTCCACGGAAAATGCTGGAAAAGCTCAGAAACCTCTTCAAAATCCCCGGTTTCATCAGCTACGTTTCTCGATTCGGACAAGTAAGTTGATCATTCCTGTCTTCTTACAGTTTCCTTTTTTTCATTGTATTTTCTCTGACCATGGTTCGTATCCATATTCTGAGTTCTCGGTTTACCGGCGTAACCGGCCCTTACGCACCGTAACCCGGCGCGGCGGGACCACGGGGGGAGAAGCATAACAAAAGCGGAGATAACGGAAGGCCAGCTTGCAATGAGTTACGATCCCTGGGTCGGCGTTTACCTCGCAGCATGGGATCGCTAAGCAATTTAGCAGCTATTGAGATGTAAACAAGACAAGGATGATCTCCCTACAATATCGCACCACTTACCCCTAACACACCCGCCCTGCGATCCTTAAAGATCCAAAAATCTTTCAAAACTTTGCAGAATGCTGAAGGTCCACGCTTTTCGGCATTCATCACCAATTTGGTCGTCTCCTTCGCCATCGCCAGCGTAAGTTTTGTGAAGCTTCTAAAAACGTGGATACGTCAAAAATAGTTTGGTCCTTTTTTGAGCGTTAGAATGCCTTGTCTGTGAAGAGCATGTGAGGTCCAAAATCGCCTGCCACCCGGTGCAATTTACATATTTATTCTCGTAATTCCATGCAGTTGAGGACGGGCAAGGTTGGGAAACGGAAAGAACTTATTCCAGTGGCTCCAATTTGCTTCGTTAATATTCATTTTAATACGAAGTCATCTGGGTGGTACTCCAATCAATCAGTTACGCGAGATGACAAAGCGATATTAAGGCTTCTATTTATGCCTGAATTTAGGGGCTGGACAACGGCGACCGTCCTATCGAGAAGGATAATGGCCTGCAGCGCGCCGACCCGTCGCTCAAAGTGACGTACCGCGTCGGGGCGGTACGTTTCAAAAGGTTTAAACGTGGTACCAACTCAATTTTACTATGGCTGGGGTGGTCAAAGCATCCAACGGGCCTTAGTTCCCTGAGATTATCCAAATGCGCATAGCTCAGATAGGTGTCCAGTTTCCGGTCTGTTCCCTATTTAGCACCTAGAGAGCTTCTTTGGATGCTAAGGTTCTCGACCTACCCCAGTTACGGAGAAAATTGCAGGTGGCACTAAATACAAATATCGGGTTGGACGCAAAGTTCGTGTAGTCTCAAAGTTGACGTGGCTTCTAGAAGGCAGCCTGGGGCCGCAGATTTTGGATTTTGCATCATTGAGTAGTGTGGAATGCTGTGGCACCGCGTCGCTTGGCGCCGAACGGCCAAAGGAGGTTGATATGACGTAGCGGCCTTCGGCGCAGTGGAAGGGACAGATGCGTTAATGGGAATTTTTGGTTGTGGAGTAGCGTTCCATCACGATATATGGCGCATCTGAAAGGAGCACTGCCATCCAGCGATCCTTGTAGAGAAATGCAAAATTCTCCGCGCTGCTGAAGGCGAATCAAGTCTTAAGCATGTACAATCTTCGACTGACACGTCGTACACCTCGACGGTATCTATGAACGTGCAAGAGCCGCACCATAGTATCAGTTGCTGAGCAGCGCGTTATGTTTTGCTTGTAGTGGAATTTCAGGATTTCAATATAATAAAATGCGCAGCCTACGAGTCTCGCTATGTAGGCCAAAATATAGCTAGATGAATCATCGATCCCTTTAGTGCCTTTCTTGTTTGTCGGTTGTCGTTTCACGGCATTTCGACCGGAAGACCGGACCGGACCGGACAGGGTTGGGAGATCGGTTCCTCGACACTCAGTTCCCCGACAAATCTTGACTGATCTGGACTGGGGGGGACTGAATGGATGAGAAGCGACGTTCCATACATCGGCCTGAGAGGACGACGGCAGGAGTTGACGTTTGGAGGGCTGAAAAGTCGGGAGTCATCGTTGGCTGATGTCTTGGAAGCCATTGCAAGCCAGCGTGACCTCTGATCGAGCAATGGCTACCCGAGTCATATATGTGAAGCAAGGGTCCGTGCGGCGAGGCTCGACGAATCTTTCAGAATGACGGCAGGTCGTCCCGGAACGGCTCATGGATGAGCTGTTCAACCTGGCGGATCGAAAACTAAGGAGAGCACCAGGACGCCATACATATCAGTAACTGACAGCTAACATTCGTTGATTGGGAAAGTGGGAGGGTTATTTCTGGAAGGGACTTGTCTTCGAAGTGCACTACACGCGCGAAGGCCACCAACTCAGCCTAGTCCTACCTTATATAATTTGGTCGCGTATCTTTGTGTGTGTGTGTGTGCGGAGGTCAGTTTCGAGGCCCGATTTGAGGGCCTTCCCGTGGCCAAAATGCCCTAATTCTCCGTCACCCGGGGGAATCGACCCTCCTCTTTCCGATGGCGCTTTCAGAATCCCGATAAAATACAAGTTTACAAAGTTAAAGCCGGTTTTATTGATTTTTGGGGGTCCGGGAGGGCTAATTTGCATAATGTGAAAAAATAGAAATTTCCTCATTCTTGCCAGTTGCACTCGCGAGTTTGGTCGGGGGCAGGGGGGGGTCTTCGGACCCGAGCTATCGGAAAGTCAAAGTTCTCATGCAAAGGCCGCATTCCAGCGCCCAAGGCCCGCGAAGCGGGTTTTGGGCGCTGGTCAGGAATAATTGTCCATCGGTGTCCGTCGGTTACTGCTGAAAAGGAGAAGTTTTTGAGTGGCATCCCAGTTTGAGCAGGACCAAGCTGATCTTGTGAGAAATTTTGCTTTGCTTCCTAACCTATTTTTTTAACTTTTTTTTTGAACGGAATGTTCAAGAAGTTATAGCGGAATTTATGGCGAACATGCTCAAACCCACAAAGTTAGACTCCTGCAAAAATTCGAGCGCCAATATTTTGTCCAAATAAATAGCGCATTTTATATACTATAGTGCATTATACTACGAGATGATTGACTCCACACAACCTCATTTTTAGCTATTTTTAATTGATTAAACTTTTTAGCCTAATAAAGTAATAATTTTAAATTGTGGTATTTCGGACTGAAATTCAATCTCCTAGTATAATTTTTGGCGTTCTATCCGATGGCACTAATGAAATCCCGATGAAAAAGCTAACGCCGAAAATGATGATCACCCTATGGTTATACTTCGTAGCAGATGGTTTTGTTTTTTAATAACTAATTTATAATACACGATTTCGGGATCAAATTAAATCACTCAGTATATTTTTTGAAGTTCTATCCGACGGCATTCATGAAATCCCGTTAAAACAGCCGAAAATACGGAAAATTACGTTCCATGAAGTTACTTCATGGATGAATGGGCACCGACCCCGATGGGGGAAAATGGTTTCTCCCCCCCCCCCCCCCCGTTAAGCAATCTTTACCGAATCTTTAAAATGTTCCATTCTATAGCTCATTCAAAAGAGCATCTTTTTCTCAACAGGATGCGCTAATTACTTTTGATGAAATACTTTCTTTAGAATTTTCGTAAGGGTTTAAATTGTTGGGTGTTGAGTCAAAAATTTGAATTTTGAGCATTTTTGGCCTGAAGGGTAGCCGAGTGGTCTAAGGCGCTTATCAGGCGAGTCTTCCGGGTTCGGTTTTGCCCCACTTTTAGCCCCTGCCGTAACCTTGCGTCCTAAAGCGCAATCCGCGGAAAGTTCTGCACAGGATATGTTTAGTTCTGGTGCTGAAAACTCGGACGTCACTCAAAAACGTGTCCTTGTCATCATTCTTGATGCCATACAGCACATGTTTCCTGTTTCCTCAAATATAACCCGGGGGGTTTTTTCAATCACCCCCGCGGGAGGGGGTGGTATTGGAGGGGGCTTGTAATAGAGGGCTTGAAATTTTTGCGATCGACTGTACGAACAAAAATGTGAGATGAAACGGACACGCAATAGGCGCGCAGGGCGGAAATGCATTTACGGGGCAGCCTGTAACGGGTAGGGGAGCATTTGGATAAAGTGCAGATGCGAGAGTCGAAATTTGGCTTATGTTCTAGGTTAATTTTGACCTGGCACGTTCTGTGAATTCGGAGGAGAGCCGGAGCTAACTGAAAAGATGTACATACAAAAATAGGCTCTGGACTGTTAGCGGGGGGGGGGGGATTTCAGCAGGGGTGACCACTTGCTGTACCTCCGCCTCTTGACGATATACTATGTGTTTTTATAGTGTTTTTAGTAGTTTTTGATTGCCACAAAGTAAAAAAATCACATTTTCAAATTCGAAAATTTAAAATTTTTTTGGTCATTTTTCCTACATTTTTGACCAAAAAGTCAACAGTTTGCGAAACTTTTTATTCGTTTTGATCTTGTTTTTATATCTAAAAACTATGTAAAATGCCGTAAAACTAGTTTGTAGGGCCGTGGAAATCATAGGGGAAAATTTGGTTCCCCTCCCTGCGCTACCAGTCCAGAACCAAAAATGATATTTTTCACGAGAGACTTTTCGGCAAAATTATGTCCGGCAAGACTGTCGGAAATCGTTATGTGAGGAAACAATCAAGAGCGGTTGCTGTCAGGCAATTTTATTTTTCTTACCTATCCGGTACACAGTGCTAGTCTGTTTGTCTTTGTTAAGCATAAACTCTTTTGAATATAACCTTTGGTATTCAAAATAAACTCAACCTCTGAAAACTATTATTAAAAACTTTGGTTCCAACCTAATATTGTTGCGCCTACAGTCCTATCTCATCTTCCACGTTCAGCTCGGCTTCGAAGCAAACTTCCCGCGCCCGCAGCAGAACGGGGTCGTCGAGGCCAACGACATCGTGACGAAGCGCCCGCCAACCTAATGGAAAATTAGTACTAATTACTAGCCATAATCACCCCGAATTCCCCTCCCTCCCCTTCTTTATGTGCTTTCTTCGAATGTTCACTTACTCCATTAAGTTTCGATCCCCGGGTTTTCCCCTTACCCTGCCGGTGTCTGTGAAGTGCCGTGATAAATTTTCGGAATACTACTTTAGACAAAGCAGAGCACAATACCAAGAAAAGGAGATGACAGCCACGTGGCGAATTTATGAATTTTTTCAATAATTTCAAGACTATTAGCTCAAAGAGGTCGTTTCTTTAGCTCATGCAATAGATGGAAGCCGTTGTCGAGGGATGCCCTAATTTTGGGGGTACGGGGTTAAAACGTTGGTTAGAGTTGAATCTCGGTTCAAGGAGCCATATGGACAGAGGTTTTCCTACTACATATCTGACTACCTTTTGTACCGGTGTTCGTCAACCGGAATTGTCGTCATGACTTCAAAAAAATGTATCTGGCCGAATTTAAAATCTCCGAATAGAGAAATAATAGCAAAGCAGCTGATAGAAATTCGACCAGGGGGAATGTCGCGCTGAAGCATTTTTCAGAATAATCTAGGGTTTTCGCTGCTCGTTGCCGCGCAAAATAGCTTCCGTCTATCCCACAGCATTGTAGAATCTCACCAGGCGAAGCTGCCCGCCAAGAGGAGTTCAACCATAAAAAGAAAGCCAGCGATAAATGATAAGGCTGGCTGTCAGCCCGGCAGTAACGCCTCCGCCGGGGACCATAGATAAGCCGTCGCCAGTCATGGGCTTTCAAACACAGGCAATCGGTAACGCGATGAAAGTCTTTTGGCTGCGGGGAGTTGCGGCGATCAAGTAAAAAAAATTAGCTTGTCAATGAACGCAAATGATGCCCGGTCAAAAGCCGACACAAACGGCTGTGTCCTGAATCCAAACATGATCTGCAACGGATCAGACGGAAATCCCAACTAGTTCAGCCGGGATAGCATTTCTGACGGCTGATCGGTTTTAGAATGTTTTGTGCTGGCCCAGGTCCCTCGTCAATTCCACCTTACCGTCCTTTACTCGACTACTAACTCGGCGGCGACACATATCCTTCCATATATAAATATAGTATCCAAAAATAATGTGTGTGCAACTCTGCATCCACTTCCGCAATCGCAGTCATGTCTCAATAAGGGTATTAATTAATAATAAAATAAAAATAGCCGTTTTCGATACTAAATTTGGGTTTTTGTGAAATCCCCTTTATTAGGCAACAATCAACGTATACCGAAAGTGGGTATCCGTTTATATAAATGGGCAGAAGAGTTTGTTTTTTGTCAACTAAATTCAGGACAATTACGCAAAGCGAAGAATAACATATAATTAAACGCGGGCAGGGTTCAAAACTCGCCAAGCGGCTTTTCAACCCTTTTTGGTATCAAAATCTTTTGCTGATCATACGACCACGATTTTCTTGCCTCTGGTCTTTCAGCTACACCTCGAAGAGTTTACAAAGTGCCGATTGCAGGTTCTTGAAAAAAACTGCGAGGGCTCACCGAGAGTCGATCGTGATCATTTGGTGGCCCGCGGGTAGACAGAAACAGAAACAGAAAAGAAACTGCCCAGTTCAAATTTTTGAATTTCAAATGGCTCAAAAATTTTGTTATTTTTTCTACGCTTGTCTGCCTGGCTTCTTCCAATTCCGACTGGTCGAGCTATAGGAATTTTCAGATCACTTGCGACTGGTCCTAGGCGCATAATATGTAATTATATGTTTCACCATTACACTTGTCATATAGCTCACTGGAATTTCAACAGAACTTCAGCTCCGATTAGCTTTCGTCACGTCTCCGGGTTGCTGATACAGTTCGCTCGTCGGCAGTGTTTTCCACACAGCGCTTATCAGGGTTTAGCTTCCCTTGAAATCCCGCTGAATAATAAAACGCTCGATACTTTAGGGCTGAAAGTTTTCTGCTTATTAAAAATGTGCTGAAGTGTTTAACGAGTCAACAATCATCAATACAACGTCTTATTTCTTCGTGCCCAGCAGATTCGAGCATTCTTACAAGGTTAACGATGGTCCGATTCGTTTGCGTTTGCGAGATATTTCAGTGCAAACACGCGACTTTTTTGCACACCCTGCCGATGATCTACCCGGGCCGAAATCATAATTTATTGCAGAAATTTTGTGTCGTTGAATTTATGGCTTGCAGTACTTTGCGGACTTGTTCTTTTGACTTTGTCTTGCGGCTCCATTATTTAAAGCGATTATACTGGCTCTCGTGAAATTGTTTTGGGGTGAAGGCCTTTTGCATACGACGTTTTCCGCTTAATGTTGATCTGGCGCCTTAGTTACCACATTTTTAATTGAATTTCTACAAAGATAAGGCCTCGGCCTCATCGAAATTGCTGTCCCGGCACAGACTCGCTGCGTGGGCCAAGGTCCGCTGGTTATCGGCGCCTATCAGTCGATCTGTCGCGCCTAAGCCAAACACACGTCCGCACATACGGCTGGCCCCGAATAGTTTTAGAATACCCCCATACAAGACGGTTGACAATTTCTCAATCACGCGTGCGTAGATTCATGATGCCATACGCAAATTTTGGAGATTCAAATACAGGTTGTCGGAATAAAAAAACGCCCCCCTCTAACTCGGCGCAAAAGTATCTAATTGGAACGATATTTACACAATCCTAAGCTTAAGCCAAGCCTAATCCTGAGCCTAAGCCCAGATATGACGAGTGCTCCCGACGTGGAAGCATGAGCGTAAGCCTAAGCCCAGATATGACGAGTGCTCCCACGGTGGGAGCATGAAAGTAAGCCTGAGCCTAACAAGGAGATGGTCTCAGCTCGGAATCGAGTTCGGTTTTCAAAATTTGCACACTTATAGAGCTCGACGAGACAAATCGATTGGTGTAACTTTCAGCTGCTGATACAATAATCACGCCGAGTTATAAGCATTTTAAGTTTTTTGCATACATTTTGCCTGTTGTCGGCCATAGCTTCATATGTCTTCCCCGCCTCCCCCTCACCATGGTCTGGTGGCCTACTGGTGTAGTAGGCGTCCTCCAGCGAATCTAACGAGGGTTCGGACCTGCTCACGATTTTTATTTTTTGCTTTTTCGTCCGAAGGTTCCTCTTTGCTTTCTGAGGACCTTGCATAGCTTTTTACGCATTATTTTAACTCCTCTGGTGCGAAATGGCTAAAAAACATCTCTTTGAAAAAATTTAGATTTTTTTACCCGAAAGGACTATGCCGGTCCCAAAATAAATTGGAAATTCAAAGCATATCAAAAATCGTGGAGTAAACGTAAATTTGGTAAATGGTGTGTTATCCGAACAAAAACTTTCATCCGCGAAAATTTTTTGGAAATGGTAGTCATAGGTCGGGCAAGGGCTCGATGCCCAGCAAGAAAAATTTTTGCGGTGAAGTTCGATGTTGTCAGCGCACCAGAGGAGTTAAAATAATGCGTAAAAAGCTATGCAAGGTCCTCAGAAAGCAAAGAGGAACCTTCGGACGAAAAAGCAAAAAATAAAAATCGTGAGCGGGTCCGAACCCTCGTTAGATTCGCTGGAGGACGCCTACTACACCAGTAGGCCACCAGACCATGGTGATGGGGAGGCGGGGAAGACATATGAAGCTATGGCCGACAACAGGCAAAATGTATGCAAAAAAACTTAAAATGCTTATAACTCGGCGTGATTATTGTATCAGCAGCTGAAAGTTACACCAATCGATTTGTCTCGTCGAGCTCTATAAGTGTGCAAATTTTGAAAACCGAACTCGATTCCGAGCTGAGACCATCTCCTTGTAAGCCTGCGGGAGCCGAGATTTCGGGAGGGGGGGCACCCACCCAAAAAATTTAGAAAATCGCGTATGTAACGCTTAAATTCGCGAAACGGCGCGCGCGAGCGAAATTTTATTCAGCAAAAATGGTGCACTAATGAACACGAGCGCCGCCGGCAAAAAATTTGAGAAAAATAGGTTTTCTAGAAGTAAAAATCGTTTCGAAACAGTGATAAACCGCGCCGCAGGCAGAAAAATTTTTGCGAAAAAAATCACAAGGGTCCCCGCTAATGAACTTTTCGGTCCTCGACCGATTTCGGGGGGGCACCGTGCCCCCGGTGCCCCCCCTCGTACGGGCCTGCCTGCAGGTAACCCGTAATTTTGAGCAAATACAGGGTGTCCCAAAAAAACGACCCATCTGGCATTTCGCCGTGTTACATCCAATCGGTCCCAAATTTGGACCAGAGGTGTATCAGACCTTAAATAACAACAATCCTGAATTATAGTTCTGTAGCTACAGTAGTTCTCGAGTTATGGCAAAAACAAATTTATTTTGTATTTTTCATAGGGTTTTCGTGGAATTAGACCCCTTTAACATTAAGTGAAAATGATCCGGAAGGCCGTCTTTACCTTAAGAAATTTTTTCCAGTGTAAAAATAATTAAATAAGCTTCGATTTAAGCGATTTTTACAATGCAAAATTGCCCAGTTCTTAAGCGAAATTAGGGATTCGTAGCCGGAAATCGACGCAAATCGATGCAAAGTCCAAAAAGATAGCCGAAAAAACTGTTTAAAATTGCGTGAAAAACAGTATTTTCGTTATAACTCGAGAACGACTGTAGCTACGGGGCTATAAGTCAGGATTGTTGTTATTTAGGGTCTGATACACCTCTGCAGGGACGTAGCCAGAAAAAAATTTCGGGGGCCCAAAAATGTTCCAAAAAGCGCAAAATATTGCCTAAAAAACAGCGCCGCAGGCAAAAATATTTGAAAAAAAAGGTTATATAGCTCTACAAATAGCCGTAAAAACGTGAAAAAATAGCGCCGCAGGCAGCAAAATTTTTGAGAAAATAGAAATCATAAGGGTCGCCCCTTATGAAATTTTCGGGCCCCGGCCGATTTCGGGGGCCGGGCCCCCGGGGCCTGTATTACGCTACGTCCCTGCACCTCTGGTTCAAATTTTGGGCCGATTGCATGTAACACGGCGAAATGCCAGATGGTTCGTTTTTTTTGGGACACCCTGTATTTGTTTTATTTTTTCTCCGCGCAAGCTTGCTCCTTTTCCTTTTTGGGGATAAGTGCTACGCTGTGCGTTGTGAAGGTAGAACGCCTTCTCATTCTCCTGTCATTACGTAAACGTGGTCGCCTAACAATAAACCTGGGCCTTGTTTATGGTAACGACTTTATTTATGGACAAGCATACAGACCCGTTGAAGGCAAACAATGCAGTCAATTCAAAAAAAGTAGGAGATCATGGCCAAAGATTCTCGAGAAACATACATAGTTAGCCAAAAATTCGTATTACGAGTCCTGAAGAATAAGGAGGGTAAACAAAACGAAGCTACGCTTGAGAGAGTAGCCTCTGCTCAAGTCTCGGATCCATGCCGGGAGACCCCGGTCTAGGTCTGACGATTGTCGTTGGTCGTTGGAGACGGTGGAGCTCAAAGGTTTCATTGGGAGGCGCAAAATAGGGCGGAGGAGGAGCCATGGCTGCGGGCAGTGATGTGTGAGACACTGGAGTGGTTGAGGTGGCCGATTGGTAGGAGGGGAGACTGAAAGAAAGTAATCAGCAAGGTCTCTATATTGGAGCGTCATGTATCAGGCGGGTAGATAAGTCCTGTCACAATTTTTTAAAATCTCTCTATATAGCCGCAAACATGGCCGATTTTAACGTTTGATATCTGTTTTGATAGGTCTTGGGCTGCTCTATCATGGGAGCTGCCGCACGAGGCCGAAAAGTTACAGGACGCCGAATTACAGCACCGGGAAGTGAAAATCCGACGTTTCTGCGGCTTTCTAGAGCACTTTCAAAAAATTGTGACAGGACTTATCTACCAACCTGATAGTTGTGGATACCTAGCCGCCGAAAAGTGCGGGTTCTCGCCCTTCCCAACCCCTTTACCCCACCTCATATCGGACACGATGCTGAGCGCGTGGCTGTGTCGATCAGAGGGAGCGCTTCTGGGGGAGGGGCGAAAGGAAGAGCGACAGGAAGAGACGGATCTGAGCATCACCAGGAAGGAGGATCTGAAATTGTTGTTTTCTCTCTCTTGCTATCTCGCTTTCTCTCTCTCTCTCTCGTCTCTCGTCTCTCTCGTCTCGATCTCTCGATCTTCCTCTCTCTCTCTCTCTCGGTCTCTCTATCTCGCTCTCTCTCCGCTCTCGTCTCGATCTCTCGATCTCTCTCTCGGTCTCTCTATCTCGCTCTCCCTCTCGTCTCTCGTCTCTCTCGTCTCGATCTCTCGATCTTCCTCTCTCTCTCGGTCTCTCTATCTCGCTCTCTCTCCGCTCTCGTCTCGATCTCTCGATCTCTCTCTCGGTCTCTCTATCTCGCTCTCTCTCTCTCGTCTCTCGTCTCTCTCGTCTCGATCTCTCGATCTTCCTCTCTCTCTCTCGGTCTCTCTATCTCGCTCTCTCTCCGCTCTCGTCTCGATCTCCCGATCTCTCTCTCGGTCTCTCTATCTCGCTCTCCCTCTCGTCTCTCGTCTCTCTCGTCTCGATCTCTCGATCTTTCTCCCTCTCTCGGTTTCTCTATCTCGCTCTCTCTCCGCTCTCGTCTCGATCTCTCGATCTCTCTCTCGGTCTCTCTATCTCGCTCTCTCTCTCTCGTCTCTCGTCTCTCTCGTCTCGATTTCTCGATCTCCCTCTCTCTCTCGGTCTCTCTATCTCGCTCTCTCTCCGCTCTCTCTCGATCTCTCTATCTCTTCCCCCTCTCTCTCTCTCTCTCGCTCTCTCTCTCTCTTTCTCACCTCCTACTCGATCTATGACTATTCCCCGACGGCATCCACATCATAATATTGTATCCATTCGCCAGGTCTCCGGCTCTGAAACGAGGCGATTGGGTTTAGCTGCCTGAAACCAAAATCTTGGCAGGGTGGCAGTTAGCTGAAGTGGTATTAACTTACTTTGGTCTTGTAATTCTATTCAAAGTGAGTGTAGCGGCCAGGGCGACGAGTAGAAGGAGTGCGACTCCCAGGCAGAACACCAACGGCTCATCACCGGTTCCCGGATGTTCGGCTTCTTCGATGAGGACCCATGAAGGCTGAAAAAGGGTTTCCTATGCTAGGTACTCGTAATTAGCATAAATCGTAGGTTTTAACGCCTAAAGGTAAGTTTAAACCTTAAGGTACGTTTTATAGGTACATTAGCATAAAATCGTTTCCGGTCGCGGCACAGGGGCGCATTAAAGGCATCTCCCTTACCTTCGTCCGATTGCGCCCATCCGTATCGTCGTCGAGCAGCAACCAGGAGGGCTCACATTGTGGGACCTAAAGTACATTTTAAAGGGCTTGTGAAGGCAAAAGATCGGCTATGGAATGATTCAGAAGCGGAAAATCATACCCGTAATGTGTCGTTGAGCATCATGACGAGCTGGCAGCACGCCAGGCGCGACATGTTCATCGGACGGGCGCAAAGGTGCATGGGGGAACTGGAAAACGAGAGATTGGGAGAGAGAGAGAAAGAGGGAGAGCGAGAAAGAGATAGAGGGAGAGAGAAAGAGAGCTAGAAACAGATGTCGAAAGTTTCACATTTAAAATCAGTTTTTCTCTAGAACACCCAGTAATGAAGGAATCAAACTGGCGAGAGAGCGAGAGAGAGAGAAAGAGAGAGAGAGAAAGAGAGAAAGAAAGAGCGAGGGAATGAGAAAGAGAGAGAATCCAACTAAAACTTTCCGTAAATAACCCATATTTGCCAAAAATCCCAGCCAACCCCCAAATTCGCCTCTAAATCCAGCCGCCCCACCACCCCCGAATTCCCATGCATACAAAAAGGCGTGAAAATCGGAAGGACACACTGAGGGTGTATCATGGTGTCGCCCTGGGGAATACGAGACGTGGAAAGTGCTTGACGCAAAGGTTATTTATTCCAGGAAATGCATAAGTTGGGAGGGGGTCAGAGGACTGAAGTGAATAGCTGGCTGCGGATTTTGGACTTCTGGAAATAGCAGCTTTTGGCTTACTGCCTTTCTGAACTCTGCCCAAATCTGGAAATGTTCCCAAATGACAAACGTGCTATTTTGTGTTAAATGCGAAAGTGCAGGGTTGGACGAGAGAAAGAGAGCGAGTGAGAGACAGAGAGAGCGAGAGTGAGAGAGAAAAAGAGAGAGAGAGAGAGTGAGAGAGAGGGAGGAAAAGGGAATGTCGACAAGCTCTTGCTCTATAGGTTAAGCGATAATTTTCTATCTATTTTTTTAAGGATTTTTTTCTTTTTTCCACCTAGACGCCGATTGTTTTCGCTCCTAAAACCCGTTTTTTCGACAAAGATCCAAAAAACGAGTAGCACCTCAAAAAATGGGGTGGTTTCAGGGGCGGCTAGGCAGCTTCTTGTCTTTTTCGGCTTGGCCCCGGCGGGGAACGGCAATTATGGGGTCGTTTGTTTTCCGGCTCGATTTCTCACTTTTGGGGCCCTGGCCCGGGGCTATGAGAACCCCCCAACAATGGCCCCGGTCTCAGAATCGGCTATTTGACGTCATCATCTGGCCCCCGGTAGCTTTGAGGTTTTTTCGTGTGGGTTTTACCATGAAAGCAACTTAATGAATGCCTAAAAAAATAAATAAAGCGTTTGCTTTGAACGGAAATGGCAGTTAAATCTGGCAGAAAAATTTACCTTATTAAAAAGCGGCATAAAAATGGTGCGCGTAAAATGCCTTCAACGCCGAAGTCAAAAAAAAGTTCGAATGTAAGAGAAAACGGAGAGATAATTTAAAAATTGAAAAACCCTTTAAATTGCAAAATTTTCGGGACCAAAAAACCGCTTAAAAACCGGAAGGGTTTTTCCTGAATTTGAGATTTTTCCGAAATTGCTCAGGTAAAAAAAAACCCAATTTTTAGCCGCAATCCAGAGCAGACTCGATATTCGAGGAGCAGCTCTTTAAAACGAAAAATATGTAAATGCTAAGTGTAAGCAACCAGGGGCGTACGAGGGGGGGCTTCTATGAAGCCTATTTTTCCAAAATTTTTTGCCTGCGGCGCTGTTTTTCATTAGTGTGTCAACTGTCCATATAAAATTTTCGCCTGCGGCGCGTTTTCCGTGATGTTTTTACATGAATTTGAGGGTTTCTAACGCTTTTTCCTTATTTTTTGCGGCCTGCGGCGCTGTTATAGCTGCGATTTTTAAATGTTTTGAAAGTGGTGACCGGGGGGACAAGAGATGAATTTTTGGCCAAGATCCATAGAAAATTCAAGCCTATCAGGCCCTTTAAAACTGCAAAAAACCGGAATTCTGAGAAACAACTGTAAAGGTAAAAGACGAATTTTAATTTACATTTTTAGCGGAATACACCAGGCCGAAAACCGACTTTTTTGCCCAAACTCATAGCAATTTTGGTCTTCCAGGGCCCTGAAATGGAAAAAACACCGAAAGACACCTGTCTACAACCTAAAACTTTGAAAAAATACGCAAAACGCAACAGTCCGAAAAGAAAAACAAAAGCGTGGCTCTGCGGGACCTTTGGGTCCACGGGGGCATAAATTGGATTTGTTAGGGGATTTGCTGCCCTTGGGCCTTCGCCTTTTTCTCGTTTTCTTTTTTCTGTCCCTCGGCCCCTGGTGCCATTTCCCGGGTTGAAAAATTCATGGCCATGCCCCGTTATGCGGAGGGCGTAGGAATGGGCGGTCTTTAGGAGCGGAACGGAGCCCGGGCGAGACGGCGGAAAATAATTAGCGCTGATGAATTGGGTTAACGGAAAAGCGGCGGAATTGGCAAAACCCCCACCGGAAATGGACGAATTCGAAAAACGCGGTTCTTACGATTTTCAAATCGGTCGGCAGACTAGGGAAGCTAGCAGAGATTCTTTGGGAAGCAGAGCTTTTCGAATTTGTCGAAATGGTTAGAAATCCTGACAACCCAAATCCCGACAGGGGAAAATCCTGAACGTCCGGATCCCGACAAGAAGACCAAGATCCCGTCACGCAAAAATGCCGACAGCCAAATAACGACAGTCAAAATGCCGACCAGCCAAAATGCCGACAACCAAACTAGCTTCTTAAGCGGAAGTGACATCCAAAATAGCGTCAAGAGTATCTCGGGATTCTGAGATTTTTTGCTGTCGGGATTATGGCTGTCGGAATTTTGGCTGTCGGCATTATGGTTGTCGGTTTTTCTGTCGGGATTATGGTTTTCGGTATTTTCACCGTCGGGATTATGGCTGTCGGGATTATTACTGTCCGGATTTTTTACTGTCGGAATTTTGGCTGTCGGTATTTTTCTTGAAATACCTATAAAATCCTTCGCCAGAAATAGAAAAAATAAATCAGGAATTTTCGTATCGTTTTCGTTTTCGATGGGCAGACTAGCGGAGAATCTTTAGGAATTTGCGAAAATTATGGAAAGCTCGTCCTCCGCATAAAAGTTATCGAAATTTGGCGTCCGACTAGTGTCACATAGCATAGCGCGGGGGCGGATTTCTACTCAACAACTCCCCCGGCGGACCAATCAGTACGACGAGGAGGAGCACCAGCAGTGCCAGACGGCCAAAATTCAGAAGTTGGGTCTCCTCCCTCCCACTCGACAACATGATCCCCCATGTCCCCACACACAGCCAATTCTTCTTCTTTTTTGGGGGTGGCTGAATTTCTTTGGGTGCGGGGTGAGGCTGTGAGTAGTGACGGGTAGGCGTGAAAGGGGGAAAGGAGAAGCTGGAAGCAGCCGAAAGGGGGAAGTGCCTTGTTTTCGCTCATTCAATTTCTGGACCTCCTTCCGGGGCTGGAGGGATGCTCAAGCCGCTGGGGTAACACTTTTTTGAAGTTTTTTGAGCTTGAAAGTGGGTTTTTGGGGGCTAAAGGGACTGTGAAGCCAAAGGAACGGCGGATTTTAGGGCCATCAGCTGGCATCATAATTTCAAATCTATTTGAAATCATTATTTAAAGTGAATTAAAAAGCATACGTCTTGTAATTTTTGCTCCTGGGTCTT